AATTTTTATTAATTTTTTTTTAAATAATTGAAATTCTGTAAAGAATTTTATTCTTTATGAAAATAATTGAATTCTTGCAACGAATTTTATTAATTTTTTTTTAAATAATTGAAATCCTGTAAAGAATTGTAATATTTATGAAAATAATTGAATTTTTGTAAAGAATTTAATTATTTTTCAAAATAATTGAAACTTGGCAAATCTTATTAACATTTTTGAAAATAATTGAATTCTTTTTACTAAAATTGTGATGAAAATAATTGAATTTGTACAAAGAATTTTATTATTTATGAAAATAATTGAATTCTTGCAACGCATTTTATTGCATTTTTGTTAAATAATTGAATTCATTTAAGAAATTTTATTAAAATAGTAGATTTTGAAAATATTTTAATTTCAGAAAAGAATTTAATTATTTGTGAAATGTAATTGAATTTTTGCAAAAAAATTTTGAAAATAATTTCATTTTTCGAGGAATTAATTTAAAATCGTATTTAAAATAATTGAAATCCTATGAAAAATTGTATTATTTATGAAAATATAATTGAATTCTTAGAGCAAATAATTTTATTACATTTTTTCAAATAATTGGAAATCATGTGAAAATTCTATTTGTTTTTTTGAGTATCTAATCATTTTTAGTGTGAATCGCAGAATATTCTTCAGGGTCAGGGAAAAATGGAAAATTTTGTTTGGATTTATTTCAAAATGTTGTCAAATGTTTAAAAAAGAAAATTTGCGAACTATGAAAAATAAATATTATTATATTTGTTGTTAAAAATGAAAAAAGAACTAATTCTTTTTTGTCTTTGATTTTTCAGATGGAGTGAAAATTGAAAATCATGTTTGAATCTTGTGTACAGTAATTTTTTGATATTGAAAGATGGAAATTGCGTCGATTCGAGATGATTAGCGATAATCCAATGGAATGAAGCACGTCTTTGGATGTTTCGTGACTGCTGAGGATGGATGCCATGAATTTTCTCATTCTCCTATCTTTGTCTTGCGCCTTTTGGACCATTTGATACGTGAAGGTGTCCCTTTTATGTTGAATCTTTCTTCGCAGTGCAGTCCGATACGGGCACGATTTCATCTAATTGAAGTAACCACAGGGCAACGCTTCGAAAGACACCGACATCATATATACTTCTTCTCTCCATGATAATCCCATCAAATCATCAAATGACTGCCTTCTGTTTCTTCTTTTTCAGCCCCTGCGCATTTCCGTTCGCACGTGCCGCGCTTTGGAAAAGAATTTGCTTTTTTTTTCTTTTTTTTTTTCTTTTTTTCTTCATTCAACCTTAACTTCTCTCTTCTCATCTCTATATACCTATGTAAGGAATCATTATGTCCAGAATCGATCCTCTCAGTTTAATTTCCAACATTTTTTCTCTTTTTTTTCTTTTATTTCGTTTTCTCTTCTCGGGGATCACAGTTAGTCTTCTTATTTGCCTAATCTCTTTTTTTCCTCTTTTCCCCTTTTTTATTCGGTTAAATTAATCAAATTTATTAAAAGACTAAAATTTTGCATTATTCTCCCTTTTTCTTCTTTTCTTTGAAGAAAAAAAACTTGGTAAATTTTTTTCGAACGTATTAGTACAATTTGGTGTAAAAAAATTATTATATCCAGAGTAAATTTTACTACAAGTATTTTAGAAGTAAATTTTTGTAATTTTTATACTGAAATTTTCTTCGGAAACAGTAAAAGTTAGTTTGGAAATAACAATTTTTTTAAGTAAACTAGTAAATGTTACGCGTGGAACATGAATTTTTAAATTATTTCAAATTCAAACATTCAAAAAATTTAATTATTAACTAATTTACAAATTAATTATTCTTGTTTATTAATTTCAAAAATTTTAATAAAATTCTTCACAAGAATTCAATTATTTTCATAAATAATAACATTCTTTGTAAGAATTCAATTATTTTTATACATAGTAAAATTTTTTGCAAAAATTCAATTATTTTTAAACAAAATTTTAATACATTTCACGAACGAATACAATTATTTTCTATAATTTTAATAAATCCTTCGAAACAATTCAATTATTTTTTTAAATAATAAAATCTTTGCAAAAATTCAATTATTTTCAAAAAAAAAAAAAAAATTCACAAAAGAATGCAATTTTATTCTTAATTTTGTTATAAAACCTTTGAAAATTCAATTTATTTTTATACAATTTTAATAACATTTCATAAAGGAACTCAATTTTTTAAAAATCTATATTGATAATCGTTGTATTCCGGTAATCTGTTCGCAGTTGGAAGTTTGTTCTTAATTGCTTTTTTATTTCCTAACTTTTTTAAAAATTTTCTTTTTAAATATTTTCAATTTTAAAATTAATGTATTGCCAATCATTGAATTCTTGCAAAGAATCTTATCAAAAAATTTCAAGAGAATAATAGAATTCCATCCAAGAATTTTTTTATTTATAAAAATAATTGAATTCTCGCGACGAATTTTATTAAAATTTTAAAAAATCCCAATTAAATTCTTTTGAAAATTTTTTTTGAATTTTTTTAAAGTAATGCAGTTTGTTTAATATAATTCTAATTGAAGATTTTGAAAGCAATTGAATTTTATGAAGAAGAATTTTATTAAATTGAGTTAAGAATAATTATTGAATTCCTGAGAAGAATTTTTATTATTTATAAAAATAATTTAATTCTTGCGAAGAATTTTACTATAATATAAAAATAATTCAATTGTTTCGAAGAATTTATTAAAATTTTAGGAAAAATTGAATTGATTTGAAGAATTTTATAGAAATATTTGAAGATAATTAAATTCTTTCTAGAAATTCAATTAAAGTTGATTCGAAAATAATTGAATTTCTGTAAAGAATTTTATTAAAATTAATCATATATATATTCAAAATAATTGTATTCATCAGAAGAATTTTAATATTTTTTCAAAATAATTGAATTCTTTCTATTTTTTTGACGAATAGATTTGAAAAATTGCATTGAAAATAATTTAATTTTCATATAGAATTTTTTTAAATATTTTGAGAATAATCGAATTTTTAGAGAATTTGAAATTCTTGTTGAAATTGAATTTTCTGGAAATTTTTGAAATTAATTAAATTCTTTCATGTACGTTATTTATTTAAATTAGATAAAAAATTAATTTAATTCTTGCAAAGAATTTTATTATTTATAAAAATAGTTGAATTGTTTCGAAGAATTTATTAAAATTTTAGGAAATAATTGAATTTTATAGAAATTTTTGAAAATAATTCAATTCTTTCGTATGTAATTTTACTCCAATTGGAATAAAAATAATTTAATTCCTGCAAAGAGATTTACTATTTATAAAAATAATTGAATTGTTTCGAAGGGTTTATTAAAATTTTAGAAAATAAATGAATTTTATTGTAAAGATTTTACTATTTGAAAAATAATTGAATTGTTTAGGATTTATTATAACTTTAGAAAATAATTGAATTCTTTCGTGAAATTTTGTTAAAAATAATTGAATTTTTGTAAAAAATTTTATTATTTATAAAAATAATGGAATTCTTGCGAAAGAATTCAATAATTATATTAAAATTTTTGAAAATATAAACGATAATAATTAATTTTGTACTTACAATAAGTGAATTTTAAAAATTTTGATTATGAAATTATTTTAAAATTTATATTTGAAAATAAAAAATTTTGTAATTTGCATAACAATAATTTTTTTAATAATAATTTTCGAAAAAATTCAATTATTTTCTGAAATTTTAATAAATCCTTGGAAACAATAATTATAGGTATTTATAAATAGTAAAATTCTCTGCAAAAATTTAATTATTCTCAAAAAAATTTGACGAAAAAATTCAATTTTTTCTTCATTCGTTAAAAAATTTGTCAAAGGAATTAAATTAATTTCTAAAATTTTAATTACATTCAATAATTAAATGTTTAATTTTAATTTTTAACAAACACGATTATTTTAAAAACTTGAAAGAAATTGTTCATAAAATTCAATTATTTTCAAAAAAATTAGCGTTCTAACAAAATTTTGATTTAAAGTTTATAAAAGTTGCAGACTTTTTCTCCTTTCCTATTTTTTATTCCTTTAAATATTAATAAAATTCCTAAAATCATGCATATTCTTCTCTATCCCTTGTTTTTTAAAAAGAAAAACTGCCAAAAATTTGTTTGTGAATAATTCCCAAAAAATGTGAAATACTTTTTCTGTATTTTTCGTCTTTCTTTTCATTCTTGAAACGAATTTTGAAATTTAATTCACAAGCTCAAGCGCCCTCAATTTACTTGAACTCTCATATCAATTCTTCTTCTGGTTTCTTCCCGTTCTCTTCTTCTCAAACGTTGGTAAAGAAGAAATCGACGAGTGATTTTACAAACAAATTTCCATTCTTTTTATAAAATGTAAACGAAATTTGAAAAATTAAAATTGTTAAAACTTCCAGAAAATATTTTTTAAATTGTTTATTTAGAATTTTAAGTGAATTTTTCGCAAAAAAAATCTAGTTTTCATTTTGCTTGCTTTTGAGGTTTAATGTTAATATTAATTTTTTAAAGTCGATTTCAAATTTCTTATTTCTTGAGGTTTATAATTTTTATTAAATTGAAACTGAAAAGAATTTAAATTTCAAAATTTGTCGACTTTTTTTACAAATTTTTCGATTCAAAACTTTTCTTCCTTCTCAGTCGTTAATATAGAAGAGAACTTTTTGTTCAAAGTTTAGTTTACCATTGATGATAAATAATTTTGAGAACAAAAAATTTTAATGGAATATTTTTGAAAGGAGAATTTGAAATACATTAAATTTATTTATTTAGTTATTTATTTATAATATTTTTATTTATTACTTCTCTGAATGGAATATTTTTTAAAGGAATATTTAAAAAAGAACATATTTATTTATTTGTTTATTTATTTATTTATTTATATAAGATATTTGTATTTATTATTTATTTGATAGTTATTAAAATTTTTTGTATAAAATTTTTTTTTTTACTAATTTTTTTTAAGAATTTTTTTTTTGTTAATTTTTTTACTAGAAGTAAAAAAAACTTTACACATTTGTCATATTACGATATTTTGTAATTAATTCTCTCTTCTTAATTAAATTCTGATGTAATTTCTCCAAATTTTTTAATTGTTCCTCTTGACTGAATTCAATTCCTGGTATTTTTTTGATTTTATTTCTGGCTGCATTTAATTTTTTCTGCAATTCTGCCAATTGAGTGTTCACATTTTGAGATTGTTTAATTCTTTGATTCTGATCAGTTGGTTCCTTTTCTAATGTTCTAAGAATTCTGTAGGTGGTGTCAATGAAATCGAAATCCGAATCAGTCAAAAATGATGGTTCACCTGATTTCTCCTCTTTTGGTTCGTTAATTTGAATCGCTTCTTCTTTTTTCAATGCCATTTTAACTTTTTTCCTATAAAAAAGAATATTAGAATATTTAATTATAAATTTAACATTTTTTAAAAATAAAAATGATGAATTTATTATTTAACATTAATATTTATTACTAAATTAATAATAACTTAGTAATGATTATTAATTTTAAATAAATAATTTATTAAGAACTACAAATTTATTACTAATAATTTAATTAATATTTATTACTAAATTATTAATAACTTAGTAATAATTATTAATTTATTATTAATAATTTAGTAATCTTGTAGTCTAGAGACATTTACATTTTTTTCGATTACTATTAAAATTGCACTCACTTGATTTTCTTTCAGTTTTTTGTGACACTTTGTGTAATATTTATCACTTATTATTTATTGTTAATTAATAACGATTAATATTCTTCGTAATATTAATATTTATTATAATGTTAAGTGTAAGTTTTGGTTTTGTATTTGTTTGTAATGTTTCGAAAGTTTCTGAATTTATGACTAAAATTTTCTAACTTGTCATTCACAACAAAACTTCTTGTATACTAAATCCTCAAAATAACCAAAACTGACCTGAACCTTTCTGATATTTACGGACAAAAGGACGATATAGGGAATATGGAGGGGGAAAATTTACTTCCTGAATATTGAGATTAAATTTTTGCCATTTGATTTTTTTTTATTGGGTTTATACACAATTTTTCTCGGTTTTTCATAAATGAACTAAAATTTATTATTATTGGAAAAATATTGTTTTGATTACAAACAATATTTTATTTGTAATTTTTTTACTATTACTCATTGCATATTATTATTAAAAAATTAAAAATTATTAATTGTAGAATAATTCTTAAGAATAACTTTCGAAGTGGAAGCAAAAATTAATTGAGATTTTTCTTTTTTTTCAGAGATGGAGAATAAATTGGTTTATGAAGGTGCAACAGTTGTCTTTCGTTTACGTTTTTTCTTCTGTTCCTCCGCTGCACTATCAAAACTTTCAGCAGCTGCGATGTGAAAATGAACAAATTAATGTTTCGATGAACAAATAATTATGTACTCAAGAAATATTACCGGAATCGAAGTTGCTTGCTCCATTATTTTCTGCGAAGTCTCTCGTCAAGTCGGCAAGTGATGATTCTGTAAATATATTTTCAATTATTTTTTATTTTTAGATATTGTATTTATTTTTGGTATTTCTATCAATATTATTTTTCTATTTTTATTAAATATTACCTATTTTTTTTATTTGTATTAAAGCATTATTTTTGAAAATTTTTTATTAAAAGTTACAAAATTATTTATTTCCAAATAGAAATTTTTAATTTTCATACTCAAAATTTGAAAAATTCACGTACAAAATTAATTAGTATTGTTCATATATTTTCAAAAATTCTAATATAAATCTTCGGAAGAATTCGATTATTTTTATAAATATAGTAAAATTTTTTTAAAAAAATTCAATTATTTTGAACAAAATTTTTACGAAAGAATTTAATTTTTTTTTTCTTAATTCGTTGTAAAATTTTTCAAAAGAATTCAATTATTTTTTAAAATTTTAATAAATCCTTCGAAACAATTCAATTATTTTTATGAATAGTAAAACTCTTTACCGGAATTCAATTATTTTCAATACAATTTTAAAAAAAAACCCCACGAAAGGATTCAATTATTTTTTTAATTTAAAAAAAAATTCTTCACATAAATTCAATTATTTCCAAAATATAAAATTTTAATCAAATTATAATGCAGGAATTCAATTTTTTTCAATACAATTTTAATAAAATTTCACGGAAGAATTCAATTAGTTTTATAAATAGTAAAATTCTTTATAGGAATACAATTATTTTCAAAACAATTTTAATTGAATTCCTCGTCAGAATTCAATTATTTTCATATATTTCCATAAAATTCAATTATTTACAAAAATTTTTAAAAATTCTTCGAAACAATTTAACCATTTTTATAAATACTAAAATTCTTTGCAGGAATTCAATTATTTTCAAAAAAAACCTTAATTGAATTTCTTGAAAAAATTTAATTATTTTCAAATATTTCTATAAAATTCTTCAAAACAATTGAATTATTTCCTAAAATTTTAATAAATTCTTCAAAAAATTTCAATTATTTTTATAAATAGTAAAATTTTTTGCACAAATTTAATTCTTTTCAAAACAATTTTAATAGAATTCCTCGAAAGAATTTAATTATTTTCAAATATTTGCATAAAATTCTTCTTCATAAAATTCAATTGCTTTCAAAAATTTTAATTAAAATTATTAAACAAACTCCATTATTTTAAAAAAATTTAAAGAAATTAATTTAAATTAAATAACTATTATTTAAATATTTAAATGTTGTTATTGTTATATATCTTATATTTAAATGTTATTTAAAAATATTTATTTAAATATTGTAGGTTTATTATTTTAAATTAATTTAATAATAAATACCTTTTAGGTAGTTCCTGATAAGAGACACATCTTCGTTGGAATCAGCATTAGTTGAAGGTGCCTGTATTTAAAAATTTTTATTTTCTTTTTTGGAAAAAAAGAGCCTCATCTTTAAAAGAACGTGAAAATTTGGGAAATGTCAGAGAAACATTTTGCGAAGTAGAATAACGAGAAAAATCTTTCAGTAATTTTGATAAAAATAAATGTTAGGGACTAATAATAATAATAATACCTAATAAATAATAAAATATTGAAATTATAAAATGATAAAATAATAAAATAATGAAAGAATAAAATTATAAAATGCTAAAATAATAAAATAAACAAATAATAAATCCATTAATAATGGAAATTATCTAAAAAAAATTTTAATTGAATAATATTTATCAAATAAATAATTTCTTTTTTATTAAACTCACGGCCCATATTGCGGCAATCATTGAAAAGACAGTAAACAACAGAAATAGTTTCATTTTTTTTTTTTTTTGACTCTTCACTTTTTGACAGTTGTCTAATATTTAAAGTATTTTCCATTTTTTTCTGTCGTTTTTATACACTAAAGAAAGTTAAGTAATTACTTTAACCGAGTTCAGTTTAATTTTATTATTTTTATAATTGTCAATATTTTTTTTAATAATTTTTTTAAATAAGCTCACAGTGGATGTGAGATAAAATCAAATTATCTAAATAAAAAGAAAAATAAATAAAAATTAGTTGAAAATCAGTTGACTATATACTAATAATATGTCTTGACATTTTTTTTACTATATTTACATTGTAATTATAGAGTAAAGTATCATAAAAAAAATATAAAGTAGGAAATGAATAATTTTTTTTTCTTAACATTATGCAAATCAATTTTTTAAAAAATGTTTTTTATAAACTTTAAATAAGAGGTGTAAATATAATTTTGCCTACGCTTATTTAGTTTTTATTTATTTTTATATTTATTATTATTATTATTATTATTATTATTATTATACTAGCTGTCATACCCGTCTTCGACGGGTTTTAATTTCTACCAATACATTTAACAGTGTTTCTACCAATCTGGAAAATCAGGAAATAGCCGGGAATTTAATATGACCGGAATAAAATAATAATTAGTTACCATTAGCTATTTCGGTAGGAAAATATTACTATTTGAATAGTCTCCACCCTTTAGCAAAAAATCAAAAATTATCAAAAATTCGAAAAAACGAATTTCTTAAAATTCAACATTTTTTCTTCTGTTTTATGGCATTTAGCTTCATTATTTTTGGGCTCTTTAAAAACACTTTAATTATTTAATAATCTCCACTCTTTGTTAAAAAATTTAAAATTATTTAATTTTTTCAAAAATTCGAAATACCGAATTTCTTAAAATTTAACATTTTTTCTTCTGTTTTATGGTATTTAGCTTCATTATTTTTGTGCTCTTCAAAAACACTTTACTTATTTAATAATCTCCACACTTTGGTAAAAAATAAAAAATTATCAAAAATTCGGAAAACCGAATTTCTGAAAAATTCAACATTTTTTCTTCTTTTTAATGGCATTTTGCTTCATTATTTTTGGGCTCTTAAAAAGAGCCCAAAAAATTTCAAAGAATTTTATTTTCTCACTTGAAAAAATTATTTTTAAATATTATTGTACTAGCAAATGTTATTGTTTATAATAATTTTTTAAAATTTTAAAACAATTCTTTGAAAGAATATAATTATTTTCATAAATAACAACCTTCGGAAGAATTACATTTTTTTTATAAATAGTAAAATTCTTTACAAAATTTCAATTAATTTTAATAAACTTTCACAAAAGAATTAAATTTTTTTCTTAATTCTTTATACAATTTTTCAAAAGAATTCAAATATTTTCTAAAATTTTAAAAAAAAACCTTCGTAACAATTTAATTACTTTTATAAATAGTAAAATTCATTGCAAGAATTAAATTTTTTTTCTAAAATTTTTATAAATCCTTATTGGAAACAATTTAATTATTTTTTTAAATAGTAAAATCTTTTGGAGTTTGAATCTGTAATTATTCAAAAATTCATATTTGAAAATAAATAATAAAAATAGAAAATAAAAAACAGTCGAAGTTTTATTTGTATTTTTTTATTATTTTTTATTATTTATTAATATTTATATTAATTTTTTATTTGTATATAATAGTTTTAATCATTTCCGAAAATAAATAAAAGATAAAAATTTACAGCAATAATTCAAATCGCAAAAGATAAATATAGAAATTTTATTTCTTTTCCTTGTTTAACGAATAATTGATAAAATATTTTTTCTCGAACTTTTGACCTGGATGTTTTGTTTTCCATCATTTATTACAGTTCATTGATTGAAAACACACATCTGTGGTATTTTCCTTCTGTTGCATTTGTTCCGTTGGTTTATTAATGAAAAGTTGAAATAATAGTTTGCTTATTGAAATTTAATAATTTCTATGCTTTGAAAAATCGAAATTAAATAAGAAAAATGTTTTTTCTATCTTCCAGTTGGTGTCTAAATGGAATAATTTTTATTTTATTAACATTAATAATTGTTATTTATTATTATATGACTCGTAATGTTCATTATTGGAAAAATCGTGGTGTCAATGAAATTCCGTCGCGTTTCTTTTTTGGTAATTTCGCCAAGTGTTTGACTTTAAAATTATCGCCGGGCTATTTATTGAAAAGTTTTTACGAGCAAAATGAAAATTTACCTTACGTGGGAATTTACATTTTTAATAAGCCCTGTCTATTGCTACGCGATCCGGAAATAATAAAAAAAATTCTCATCAAAGATTTTCATAATTTCTCCGATAAATTGATGCGCTCGAGCGAAAAGGAGAAGTTGAGTAATAATTGTATTTTTTTAATTTCTAATCCAACTTGGAAATATTTCAAATCAAATTTATCGAGTCTTTTTACGTCCAGTAAATTGAAGAGTATGTTTGAATATTTAGAGGATGTGAGAGAAGATTTGAATTACTATTTGGATTCTCTTAATTTGGAGGGTAAAATTTATCTAAAAATAAAATAATTATTCTGTATAATTTTCTAATTATTATTAATTTAATTATTCGTTTTTTTTCTTTTTTTAGATTTTGGAAAACGAGTGAACATTAAGGAGCTCTGCGCTAAATTTACAATTGACGTTGTGGGACTCACTGTATTGGGTTTGAAATTAAATTGCCTACGAGATCCGAACGCTGAATTTCAAAAAATTGTCAAAAGAAAAATGACTGGCGTTTCAAATTTGCGACGAGCCATGGAAGTCACGTCGATATGTTTGACGCCGCAAATTTCCACTTTTTGCGATTTTCGATTCTTTGAAAATGATGGGATTGAATTTTTTAGAAAATTCTTCCGTGCATCGCTACATGAACGGGAGAAGTCGAAAGTTAAGCGGAACGATTTAATTGATTTATTGATTCAATTGAGGGAGAGTTTTGCAAAAAGTTCTTCGGAAGAAATTAATTTTAGTAAGTTTTGCAAAATTTTTAAATTATACTTTTTTTTAAATAGTTTTTTATTTGATTGAACAGTTTTATTGTTGGTACAGATATTTTAAAATTTGTTTACTATTATTATTAAAACTTTTTCTTTTTAAGTGTTTTGTTTTTTTATAAAAATCTTTTAGGGCATAAAACAGTAAAAATGTCAAACTTTTAGTATTTAATGTATAAAAAAATTGAATTCTAAAAAAGAATTTTAGGATTTGAATTACTGAAAAGAATTTTATTATTTATAAAAATAATTGTATTTTTGGGAAGACTTTTACTGAAATTTTCGAAAATAATTGATTTTCTTCGAAGAATTTTATTAAAATTCTTATAAATAAATAAATAAAGAATTTTATAAAGAATTTTTTCAAAGTTTTTGAAAACAATTGAATTCTTTCAAAGAATTTCATTTAAATTTATAAATAATAATTGCGAATTCTTTCCAAGAATTTTATTAAAATTTTATAAAATATTTAAATTTAGACGAAGAATTTCTTCAAATTATGTAGTGAAAATAATTGAATTCTTTCGAGGTATTTAATTAAAATTAAATTAAAAATAATTTAATTATTATGAAGACTTTTTTTCAAATTTTTGAAAATAATTTTATTTTTTCTGTAAATTTTATGAAAATTGAATTGAAAATATTTGAATTCCTGAAAAGAATTTTATTATTACAGTTATAAGAATAAATGTATTTTTGTGAAGACTTTTACTTATATTTTCGAAAATAATTAAATTCTTTTGAGGAATTTTATTACAGAGTTTATTAAAATTGTTTTAAAAATAATTAAATTCCTATAAAACATTTTATCAAAAATTTTTGAGAATATCTAATTCAATTCTTTCAAATAATTTCATTTTTGATAATAATTGAATTCTTGCGAAGAATTTTATTAAAATTTAAAGAAATAATTGATTTTCTCCGAAGAATTTTATTAAAATTCCTATAAATAAATAAAAGAAAGAATTTATAAAGAATGTTTTCAATATTTTTGAAAAAAATTGAATTCTGTCAACGAATTTTATTAAAATTTATAAATAATTGAATTCTTTCCAAGAATTTTACTAAAATTTTATAAAATAATCTAATTTCGGCGAAGAATTTTATTAAAATTCCTATAAATAAATAAAAGAAAGAATTTATAAAGAATGTTTTCAATATTTTTGAAAAATTTGAATTCTATCAACGAATTTTATTTAAATTTATAAATAATTGGATTCTTTCCAAGAATTTTACTAAAATTTTATAAAAATAATTTAATTTCGACGAAGAATTAATTAAAATTAAAAAATTTTTTTAAAATAATTCTTATGTAAAATTTTATTATTTTTTTAAATTATTGAATTCTTTCGTAGAATTTTATTAATATTTTTGAAAATAATTTAATTCTCAAAAAGAATTTTATCAAAATTTCTGAAAATAATTGAAATCTTTCAATGAATTTTATTAAAATCTATAAAAATAATTGATTTCTTAAATAAAATTCTAAATTCTAAATTCAAATTTCTTTGGGAAAATATTAATTCAAATTTTGTTGAAAACAGTTGAATTTTCAATTTCGTGTAATTGAATTATGTAAAAGCAATTGAATTGGAGATATATTTTAAGTGTATTTTATTTTTCACATTAATTATTAAATTGTCAAAGAATTTTCATAAAATAATTGACAGTAATTAGTTAAAAAAATTTTAAATAATAATTAGATTTAGAAAAAATTATTTGTAATATTTAGAAGTAATTAAACTTGAGAAGGTTTCAAATCGAAGTTTTTAAAAATTTGAATTCCTATTGAAATATGAATAACAATAGGTACTTAATAAAAATATTACTTTACCACAAATTTTTTAATTTTATTTTCGAAGAATTCAGACTGAAAATTTTGAAAGTAAATTGAATTTTACAAAAACTGAGAATTGAAATTATTATCGAGATAAGGGAGGAAGTTAAAATATTTTTTCTCTGTAAATCAGAGAAATAGAAAGACAAATTTTTTATTAACATCCCTGAATGAAAAGAACTTTTTCAATTGTTTTTATACTTTAGAATTTTTTTGATACTTAAAAGTCTATCCGAGGTCAGTCAAAATAATAATAATAGAATTTATTATATTTAGAGAACTTTATTATTTTTTATTATTTCTGATTAATTATTATTTTATTTATTGCAGAACTGGATGAAAATGATTTATTATCTCAAGCGATGATATTTTTTCTCGCTGGTTATGATTCCTCTGCATTAACAATGTCATCGACTTTATATGAATTAGCCCGGAAACCGTACATTCAAAATAAATTAAGAGACGTAATAAACCAATCTCTATCAAAAAATGATGGAATATTTACATACAATATGGTATTCGTTTCAAAAAATGTTTAATTAATTTCTTCTAACAATATAAATAATTAAAAAATAATTTTATTCTATTGTCCTGTTATTTTGACTAATGTAATTTTGTTTTCATTTTTTACAGATAATGGATTTAGAATATTTGGAAATGGTGATTTTGGAAACTTTGCGAATGTATCCGGTTCTTCCAATAATTGATCGAATCGCAACAAGTGATTATGAAATTGAAGAAACTGGATTGATTATTGAAAAAGGAACGCCAATATTGATTCCAATGCTGGGCTTGCACTATGATTCAAATTATTTTTCAAATCCAAATGACTACGATCCTGAGAATTTTTCCGAATTTAATAAGTTATCAAGAAATCCTTATGTCTTCATGCCATTTGGAATTGGACCACGAAGCTGTATTGGTAACGTTCATTTTAACCAATTTTTTTTTTGTTTTTAATTTTCCTTTTCAAATATTATATTTAGTATATATTTAATTTAATATATTTTATTTACTATCCTAAATATTATATTTAGTATATTTTGTAAATTCTTTTTCAATTTGTTGAAAAATATTCTTGAATTTTTAAAAATTAACTGAATTTAATTTTGAAATTGCATATGAATTAAATTTTTATTAAGTGGAAATTTAATTTTTTTGTTAAACTTTAGTTGTTATAATTATATCAATTGTACAATTTAATCTATTATAATTTATTTTCACTTTAGGAATGCGACAGGGACTTTTGCAATCGAAATTGGGCATCGCTCAAATAATTTCAAGATTCGAAGTTTCTCTCGCAGATGATTCTTCAGCAGAAATAGATCCAAAAGGATATTTTACTTTATTCAAGGAAGACTTGTTTTTAAATATGAGAAAAATTTAAATTTTGAAATTAAATATCTTCTATATTAATAATTGTTGTATTCCGTTAATCTGTTCGCAGTTTAAAGTTAGTTGCTGTTTGCTTTTTTGTTTCCTAACTTTTGAAATAATTTTCATTTACCAAAAAGTTGAAAATAATTGAATTCACTTCAAGAATTTTATCAACATTTTTTTCAATAATTGAATTCTTTCGAGAAAATGTAATTAAAATTGTTTTTAAAAATAATTTAATTCTTGGTAAGATTTTCATTAAAATTCTTTAAAATAATTGAATTTCTTTAAAGTTTTTAAAATTATCGTGTTTATTATTAATTGTAATTAACAATTTTTCTATTATATTATATTTAAATTATTCATAGAAAATGAAATTCTCTTAAACAATTTAAATAGAGTTTCTGTAAATAATTACAATTTTTTTTTTAAGATTTTCATTAAATTTTGTAAAAATAATGTAATTTTTTAAAATAATTTTAATTAAAAATTTTGAAAATAATTGAAATTTACAAAGAGTTTTATTAAAAACTTTTGAAAATAATTGAATTGTTTAGAAAAATTATATTGCAATTTTTTAAAAAAATAATTGAACTTGTTATTGAAATTTTAAAGAATTTATTTCAATATTCTTAAAAATAGTTGAGTTTTTTAAAAATAATTTTTACTGATAATTTTGAAAGTAATTGAAATTTATGATGAATTCGATTATTTTCAATAATTGTAATAAAATTCTTTGCAAAAGGTCAATTTATAAATAATAAAAATCTTCGTAAACAATTCAATTATTTTTATACCCTAAATAATAAAATTCTTATGAGAATTTCACTTATTTTCAATTCCATTTTTATTTAATTTCTTCAAAAATTTCAATTATTTTTAAAAATCTTGTAAAAATTCTCCGGGAAAATTCAATTATTTTAAAAAATAATTGAATTTTTCACGGGAGTTAAATTATTTATAAAACATTTAATAAAATTCAATTATTTTCATAAATAATAAAATTTTTGCTGCGGAATTAAATTATTTTAAATACAATTATTGTACTTGAATTCCAGAAAAAATTAAATTATTTCTATATTCTTAGTAAAAATTCAATTATATCAATAAATAGTAAATTTTTCCAAGGAATTCAATTATTTTAAATACAATTTTTATAAAATTCTTCTCAAAAATACACATTTTTTTTTAAATTTTGCAAAATTTCAATGATTTGTAGAAATAATAAATTTTTTCGCAGGGATTCAATTATTTAAAAAAGTTTTAATAAAATTCTATTCAAGAATTCATTTATTTCCAGAAATAATTAAGTTGTCAATGTACTGAAATAATCATTGAATTCTTGTAAAGTATTTATTAAAAAATTTGAAAGTTAAATTCATTTTAAGAATTTCTTTAAATTTCGTAAAAATAATGTAATTTTTAAAAATTATTTTAATTGAAAGTTTTCAAATTAATTGACATTTACAAAGAATTTTTTAAAAAACTTTTGAGAATAATTGAATTGTTTAGGAAAATTTTATTACAATTTTTAAAAATAATTTAATATTTTTAAAAATAATTGTATTCTTTTAAGAAATTTTATTAAAATTGTATTGAAAATAATTGAATTCCTTCGAAACATTTTATTATGTATGAAAATAATTGAATTTCTTTGAAGAATTTTATTATTTATGAAAATATTTTCATTTCTGCGAAGAATTTTCTTATTTATGAAAATAATTGAATTCTTGCGGAGGATTTTACATTTCATAAAAATAATTAAATTGTTCCGAAGAATTTTATCTGAATTTTTGAAAATAATTTAATTTTTTGAAGAAATTTTATTAAAAATTTTGAAAATAATTTTTTTTAAAGATGTTTATCAAAATTAGTGAAAAGAATTTAATTTATAATAAAATTCTTGAAAATAATCGATTTCAATTAATATTTTAAAAAATAATAAAATTGTATTCTTTCGAGAAATGTTAAAATTCATTTGCTAGTAAAATATTAATTAAATATATATAAATTTACCATAAAATACATTTTTTTAAAGAAAAAGTTAATTTAATTAAAATTTTTAATTTAAAATTATTTAAATTTAAAATAAACTGAAAAAATTCTCTAGTAAATTAAGATTTTTTTGGTGAGAAATTTTAATTTAGTATTTTAGGTTTTAATAAAAGTAGAATATTTATTTATATCATCATATCTTTAATAATTGATCAAATAATTTTCAATTTTCCATTAGAAAATTAATAACATTTGGTGTTTGTAAAGTGAATTTGTAAATTTTGAATTCATTGCAGCATCGATGTTTGTCTCTGTTAATTAATTATGTACTGGTGCCTTGGTAGTTTTGCCTGCGGCACTTTCAAAATCTTCGGCTTCTAAAAACAATGAGAACAAAAATTTATTAATCAACTGTTTTGATAAGCATTTTATTTCAGTTAATTAATTTAATTTTAATTAACTTTAATTTAAAATTAATTTATTTCAATTACCATTCACAAGGCTTCTGGTTAAATTCTTGTGTGGATTGCCCTGTAAAGGAGAAATAATTTTGTGAGTTAAAAACTATTTACATAATTGACTTACATATTGTAAAAATATTTATTTCAATATTTATATTCAATATAAATAAAATTTAAATAATTCTAAATGAAATATTAAATATTAAATTAATAATAAAATATTAATATTTAATATTAAATAATAAATTGAAATTATTTGGTAAAAAAGAGCTCTTTTTATTACAAAATAATTACAAAGAACGTATTCAACAAAAAGAAAATATTAAATTGAAATATTAAATTTACAAAATTGTAAATAAAAAAAATGTAAAGTTTATAATGTAGAAAAACTTCAAAAAACTTACAGCGATAATTACTACAATGGTGCAGATGAATACGAAGAAGAAAAGGAATTGCATTTTTGATTTTGTTTTTTTTTTGCTGTTTTGTTACTGTTATTGAGACTATTGGTGGTTTGATGCTGTTGATGAATTTTCAAGCTTCTTTTATACGGATTCGTTTAAGGTAATAAAAAATTTTTATTAGTTTTAAATTCGTCTAAAATTGTTTTCGACACTGTTTTATTATAGTTTGAAATATTTTTTTTACATAAAAGCTAAGAGATAAAAATATGTGTAACGTACGAGTAAATATAGAAGTAACGATCTTTAAATTTCAATAATTGACACTAATTTCATAGAGAGTGGACGTAAAATATTTTTAACGACTGTGTGTTTAAAAATAATGAGATGCCAATTATATTGTTACCACTAATATTGAAATATTATTTTGATACAACAACAAAAATGTCAACACGCGAAAATGTACAACCTATGATTACTAATGTGACGTTGAAATTAATAAAAATTTTCTATTTTATTGTTTTAGGAATAAAAATAATTGGAAAAGGAATTTTTTTCCCCCAATGGAAAATTCAATGAGTGGGAATTTTGCGAAGAAAAATTTGTAAGTTTTTAAATATTAGTTTTTTTTTGCGTAAAATAATATTTTTTTTTTCTAGAAAAATTTATTAATATATATATTTATAATTTTACTGTATTGTTGCAAAAATATTCTTTATTCTATTTTGGAGATATAATATGTGCGCAAAATATTTGATAAAAGAGAATTTAAAAAAATGATTTTGTAAATTAACATCTTGAATATTAATACGTACATAAATTAAAATAAATCTTACACTACTGTTCAAAAGTTTTTTTTCATTCCATTTTGACTTTTTTAATATTTTTATTTTTAAATAATTTTTCTTTTTAAACGTTTTCAATTTGAAAATTAATGTATTGAAAATCATTGAATTTTTTTACCAGGAATTTTATCAAAAAATTTGAAAATAATTAAATTCCTTCGAAGAAATTTATTATTTATGAAAATAATTGAATTCTTGCGAAGAATTTCATTATTTATGAAATTAATTGAATTCTTACGAAGATTTTATTGAAATTTTTGAAAATCTTAAAGAAATTGTTTTGAAGAATTTCTTAGAATTTTTCTTAAATAATAACGTTTCTGTTATAATTATAATTGGAAATTTTGAAAGTAATTGAATTTTATAAAGAATTTATTTACAGTTTTTCAAATAATCGTGTTTTTTTAAAATTGTATTTGAAAATGATTGAATTCCTGAGAAAAATTTTATTATTTATAAAACTAATTTAACTCTGGCGACGAATTTGACTCTTTATAAAAATAATTGAATTGTTTCGAAGAATGTATAACAATTTTAGAAAATAATTGAAATCTTTCGAGAAATTTTATTAAAAATTTTAAACAATAATTTAATTCCTTCGTGAAATTTGATTAAAATTTTAGATATTGAAAATAATTGAATTCCTGTGAAGAATTTTACTCTGACTTTAGAATATAATTGAATTCCTGAAAAGAAGTTTTTTATTTACAAAAATAATTGTATTTTCGATTACAATTTTAAAACAATTTTAGAAAATAATTGAATTTCTATGAAGAATTTTTTTTTAATTTAAAAAAATAGTCGAGTCCTTTGGTGAAATTTTATTATTTACAAAAATAATATTATTTTCGATTAAAATTTTAGAAAATAATGGAATTTCTGTGAAGAATTTTATTAAAAATTTAAAAAAAAATGAAATATTTTCGTTAAATTTTATTAAAAATTTAAAATAATAATTGAATTCTTTCGTGAAATTTTATTAAAATTGTATTGTATATTAATTAAATTCCTGCAAAGAATTTTATTATTTATAAAAGAAATTGAAATTTCACTTAGAATTTAATAAAAATTTTAGAAAATAATTGAATTTCTGTGAAGAATTTTACTAAATGTTTAAAAAAATAATTGATTTCTTTTGTGAATTTTTTTTAAATTGTATTGAGAAAATAATTGAATTCCTGCAAATAATTTTATTATATTTATAAAAATAATTAAATTCTTCCAAAGACTGTTATTATTTATGAAAATAATTGAATTTTCGCTTAGAATTTTATAAAAATTTTAGAAAATAATTCTAGTTATGAGAAGAATTTTTTTCAAAAATTTTACAAAATAATTGAATCCTTCCGTGAAATTTTTTTAAAACTGTATTGAAAATAATTGAATTCCTGCAAAGAATTTTTACTATATAGATATTTATAAAAATAATTGAATTCTGGCAAAGAATTTAATTAAAATTGTTGAAAGTAATAAACAATAATAATTAATTAGGTATTTAGAAATATAATTTTTTAAATTTTGAATCTGAAAGTATTTAAAAATTAAAGTTTATATTTGAAAAAATATTTGTGTAAATCTAAAGAGATATAAATTTTTTAGGTCATGGAGAAGTCAGGATATTTCGAAAAGGAAATTTCTATTCAACCAGGAATTAGCGAAAAATTATTAAAAATATTTGTCATGACGAGAAAGAAAAAAATATTCTACGCAATAATGGAAAGAGTTGGAAATTTTGACTGGTAGTGTATTACATATTTTTTTCAGTCGTACTATGATTATGTTAATACGTTATCATCTACTTTTAAAGTCAAAATCATTTATATTTTATATTATTGGCAGATAATGTCAGTTACACCTGATTTCGAGGACAATGGTGAAGTCAATTTTTACAAAGCGTCGAATAATATTGAGAGTGTAATTGAAAATATATTGAAAACATATTGAAAATATATTGAAAACAAATTGAAAATATATTGCAAATATATTGAAAATATATTCCAAAATCAATTGAAAATATATTGCAAAAATATTGAAAATATATTGAAAAATTTGAAAAATTGAAAAAATCGAAAAAATAAAAAAAAATGGGATTTATAACATTTTCCTGGATTCTCGATGCAATTATTTTCATCCCAACATTTTTTATAATTGCACTCTACTTTTACATGACACGCAATTTTAATTATTGGAAGAAGAGAAACGTGGTGGAAATACCTCCAGTTCCATTCGTTGGAAATTGGGGAAAATATTTAACTTATCAAAAATCGCCAGGAGCGTTGCTCAAATATTTTTACGATAAAGGAAAAGGTTTACCATATGTAGGAATTTATCTATTGGATAAACCGGGTCTCGTGATACGTGATCCTGAAATTTTGAAACGAATTCTCATTAAAGATTTCAATTATTTCGCTGATAAATTGATGCGACCAAGTGAACACGATATTATGAGTAATAATTCCATTTTCTTCATTGACAATCCAGATTGGAAATATGTGAGACAAAAATTAACATCTCTATTCACAACTGGAAAAATGAAATATATGTTTGATGTTGTACGGGAAGTTGGAAATGATCTTGATAATCATTTGGATTCACTGCAATTGGAAGGTATTATTTCTTTTGTATCTTTTATTCTGTTCTTTTATCTACTCTTTTTTAGTACAAATCAGTAAAAAAAAAAAAAAAAAAAACTGTTAACAAGAAATTTTTCATTTGGAAAATCTGAATGAAAAATTTACATTAAATTTTTACAAATAAATTGATATTAACTGTTTGCTTATTTATACTAAAATTGCAGAAAATTAAAAATAATTTTTATTTCTAAAATAAAGTAATAAAAAAATTTTATTTTTAAAAATAAAATAGAAGAATAAAAAAAATTTTGTAAATAAAATATTGAATTTTTTTGTTAATAAATAAAATAATTCTAATAAGTCATAAATAATAAAAATAAATAATTAATGCAGATTTCGCACTGGATAATTAATTTTAAAAAAGTAGCAAAAAGTAGCTTTCAAACTAAAAAAAAAAAGAAGTGAAAATGTAGCTATCGAAAAATTAAACTTGACGACCAAAAAACTCGTTTTAGACACTTCACAAAACTGACCAAAAATTCCAATCAATATTTTATTTTCTTGACTTTTTCCTAATTTTCATCAAAAATATATACTTCTTTCTTATTCTGCTAATAAATTCAATTCCTGCAACGAATTTTATTATTCATGAAAGAATCTAAATATTTATAAAAATAATTCAATTCCTGCAACGAATTTGCATAACTTTATGCAAATTCTAATTTAAATAATTGAATTCCTGAGAAATTTTTATTATTCATGAAATAAATTGAATTCTTACGTAGATTTTTACAAAAAAATTTTTAAACAATAGAATTCTGTTTGGAAATTTTATGAAAATAGTAGATGTTGAAAATCATTGAATTGTAGAAAGTTTTTAAAATAATTAAATTTTACAAAGAATTCTATTAAAATTTTTGACAATATTTGAAAATCTATGCGGCATTTTATTAAATTTTTTTTAAAATAATTGAATTTCTAAAAAGCATTGTATTATTTATGAAAATAATTGAATTCTATTGGGAAATTTATTAAAACAGAAGATATTGAAAATCATTGAAATGAGGAAAATTTTTTAAATTAATTGAATTTTGGATAATAATTTTGTTATTTATAAAGAAAATTGTGATTTTACGAGAATCTTTTTTTTAATTTTGAACATAATTGAACTTTGCAAGAAGAATTTTATTACTTTTGAAAATAATTGAATTTCTGAGAAGAATTTTACTAAAATTTTAGAATATAATTGAATTCTTGAAAATAAGTTTATTATTTATAATTTTATTTTCGTTTAGAATTTTATAAAAATTTTAGAAAATAATTGAACTTCTGTGAAGAATTTTATTCAAAATTTTACAAAATAATTGAATCCTTTCGTAAAATTTTATTAAAAATTAAAAAGAAATTGAATTCTTTCATGAATTTTAAAATTGAATTCGTGAGTTTTTTAAAAATTATATTGAAAATAATTGAATTCCTACAAATCATTGTATTAAAATGCCCCAATATAATTGAATAGTCGAGAATAATTTTATTTATCGACATAATTGAATTCTTTCGAAGAATTATTTTTGTAAATAATTGAATTCCTCGGAAGAACTTTATTAAAATCTAAAAGAATAATTGAATTGTTTCAACAAAATTTATCTAAAATTGTATTTAAAATAGCAATTTATTTCTTTCGAACAGATTTATTAAAATATTTGAAAATAATTAAATTTCTCTAAAAAATTTTAATATTTTTGTAAATAATTGAATTCTTCCAAAGATAATTTTAAAAAATATATTTTTTCAAATAATTGATTTTTTTGAGAAATTGAAATTAAATTTTTAAGAATAATTACATTTTTCGAGCAATTCCTGTAAAATTGTATTAAAAATAACAGAAATCCTGAAATGTGTTTTATTGTTTATGAAAATAATTGAATACTTGCTAAGAATTTTATTAAAATTTTCAAAAATAACTTAATTCCTGATAAAAATTTTATTATTTATGATAATAATTGAATTCCTGAAAAGAATTTTATTATTTATGAAAATAATTGAATTCCTGAAAAGAATTTTATTATTTATAAAAATAATTGATTTCTTTCAAAAAATTTTAATAAAATATTTAAAAAGAATTGAATTCTTGTGAAAAATTTGAATATTCTTGAATATAATTGAATTTCTTATAAGAATTTTATAAACATTGTTTTAAATAATTCATTTTTTCGAAATATAATAATTATTATGAAAATTTTATTTTAAATAATTGAATTCTTGTGGAAAACTTTATTTGTGAAAATAATTGAATTTTTCGATTAATTAATTTAAAAAAGTATTAAAAATAATTGAAATTCGTCGATGAGTTTTATTATTTATGAAAATAATTGAATTATTGTGAAGAATTGTTTAAAAATTTTGTTAAATAATTGCTTTTTTCAAAATTTTTTTTGAAAATGATATTCTAAATTAATTGAATTTCTGTGGAAATTTTATTACCTACGTATGAAAATAATTGAATTTTGGATGAATTTTATCAATTTTTTTTAATTGAATTTTTTTGCGAAAATGAAAAGACTAGATATTGAAATTAATTGAATTTCGAATATTTTTCGAAAATAATTGAATCGTTTTAAAGAATTTGATTATACGTTTTGAGAATAGTTTTTTGATTTTTAGTATTAACAAATTTAAAGTAGTGGGAATTCAAAAAAAAAACAGAAATAGTAGCTTTTTGAGGCTGAAATCTTAAAGAAGTACTCAAATAGTAGCATAACGTAAAAAAAGTAGTAAATTAGGTTTTAGTAGATAAGTGCGAAGCCTGTTAATATTTCATTGAAATCGTTTTTTTTCAGGAGAGGGCAAAGTGGTGAATGTGAAAGATATTGCGGGGAAATTTACAACCGATTTAATTGGACTTGGTACGTTTGGATTGCGCTTGAATAGTTTGAAGAATCCGGAAGCAGAATTTCGCAAATTTGGAGAGCAAATGTTTCCAGTGTTCAATATTAAACGAGCTCTTGAACTTGCTACAATATGGCTTGCACCGCATTATTCAACGCTCTTTGGATTTCAATTCTTCGGCGATGGTCCATGTGAATTTTTCCGTAAAGCCTTTGGTGAAATTTTCAAAGAACGCCTACAGTCTGGCATTAAGCACAACGATTTCGTTGATTTGATGATTCAACTCAGGGAACAGGAGAAACTTGATCCTGACGCTCATCCCTTCAGTTGGTTGATTTTTTGTTTCATTACTGATAATTATACTAATTTTTTTTAAAAGAATTAAATTATTAATTAAATTGAATTTAAATTAAATTAAATTAAAATTATTTTTAAAAATAATTTAATTCTTTTGAGAATATTTATTCAATTTGTATATAAATAATTGAATTACTGCGAAGAATCTTATTAATTATGAAAATAATTGAAAGCATTTGAAAAACATTTATGAAAAAAATTGAAGCATTTTATTAAAATTTTCGAATATAATTTAATTTTTTTGAGAAATTTAATTAAAATTGTATTGAAAATTATTAGTTTTTTTGTCAAGAGTTAAAACAATTTTTTTCAATTAATTCAATTTAAAATTACTCCCTAAATCTAAATAAGTGAAAATTCATTTAGAATGAAAAAGTCAAAAGTCGTCCATATGAGCAAATCAAAAAAGTGATTGTTTACTTATTTTGGAGTGAAAATCACTTATTTTTCCTTCTGAGTGAATTTTTACTTATTCCAAATTGAAGAGTAGAAAACGATTTTTATTTGAATATTGAAAATTCGAATCTCTGATTTATGTTTGTTTTTATCTTTTTAATTTGCCTGTTTTAGAATTCGAAGGCGATAATGCAATATGCCAGGCACTTGCGATATTTGTTGCTGGATACGAGACCGCTTCAGTGCTTATGGGTTTTTGTTTATTTGAATTAGCGAGACATCCGGACATGCAAACTAGATTGCGAAATGAAATTAGAGAAGCTATGGACAAAAATAATGGAGAAATAACATACGACATGGTATCTTACTACATATTTTTTTTACTATTTAATTAAAAATATTTCTTTTATATTGTTTCTTATTTCTTTTAGAATTTTGAATATGAAAACAACTGAATTCTTATAAATTATTATTTTTAATAATTATTATATTATCAAAAATATATTTAAATTCTTATAAAGAGTTTTATCAAAATTTTTGAAAATTGTAATTGAATTTCTGCGAAGAATGTTATTATTTATAAAAGTAATTTAATTATTCCGAAGAATTATATTTGCAGTTTATTAAAAGTAATTGATTGGACGCAAAATTTTTTATTATTTACAAAAATAATTAAACTCTTGACAGCAGTTTTATTATTTATAAAAATAATTGAATTCTTGCTAACAATTTTATTATTTTCTAAAAATATTTGAATTCCTGCGAAATATTAGACTATTAAAAAAAATAATTGAATTCTTGACGGGAGTTTTATTATTTATAAAAATAATTGAATTCTTGCTAAGAATTTTATTATTCTCTAAAACTATTTGAATTCCTGCGAAATATTTGATTATTAAAAAAAATAATTGAATTCTCGACAAGAATATTATTATTTATGAAAATGATTGGATTCTTGCGAACGATTTTATTCAAATTGTATTAAAAATAAGTGAATTCTTATAATTAAATTTTTTTTCTCATAAATAATTGTATAAAAAATTTTTAAAGTAATTGAAATTCTGCAAAAATTTTTATTAAAATTTTTGAAAAAAATTAATAATCAAAATAATTTGAATTTAATTTAATTGAAATTTGTAGGTATTGAGAATAATTTAATTAATATTTCAATTCTTATAGAGAATGTAATCAAAATTTTTCAAAACAATTTGAATTTAATATAAATGAAATTGTGGGCAGTAAAAATAATTGAATATTCGCGAAGAATTTTATTATTTTCTAAAACTATTTGAATTCTCGACAAGAATTTTTATCATTTATGAAAATTATTGAATTTTTGCGAAAGATTTTATTAAAATTGTATTAAAAATAAGTGAATATTCTTATAAATGATATTATAAAAATTTTTCAAAATTAAATTTCTGCAAAAAAAATTTTTTATTAAAATTTTTTAAATAATTGATATAATTAAAATAATATGAATTTAATTTAATTAAAATCGTAGGTATTGAAAATAATTGAATTAATATTTCAATTCTTATAAAGAATTTTAATTAAAAATTTTCAAAATAATTTGAATTTAATATATATTTGAAATTGTAGGTTTTGAAAATACTTGAATTCCTACGAAGAATTTTATTATTTGTGAAAATAATTGAAATCTTGTCAAGAATTTTATTAAAATTTTCGAAAATAATTAAATTTTTTGGAGAAATTTAATTAAAATGGTATTGAAACTTTTTCAATTCTCAAAAAGAAGTTAATCAAAATTTTTCATATTAATTTGAATTTTTTTAAATAAATTTATCAAATTTTTAAAATAATTGAATTGTTTTGAGAAATTTTATTGAATTAGTTAATAATTGTATTTTTTAAGATTTTGAATCTGAAATTATTCCAAAATTGAAATGATTGATTATTAATTTTTTTTTATTAGTTGTAAATTATTTGTTCTTTTCTTTCACTATATATGCTTTTAAATTCTTTTCAGGTGACTGAAATGCCATTTTTGGACATGATTGTATATGAAACACTGAGAATGTATCCAACATTGCCGATTATTGATCGCAAAGCAATCCAAGATTATAAAATTGAAGAAACTGGATTGGTGATTGAAAAAGGAACGCCAATATTTATACCATCACTTGGTTTCCATTATGATCCGCAATATTATCCAAATCCACGTGTCTTTAATCCGGAACGATTTTCTAGTGAAAATAAATCGTCATTGAATCCAAATGTTTATTTATCTTTTGGACTTGGTGGACGTAATTGTATTGGTAACAAAAATTTTCCCAGAAAATTCTTTAATTTGTAATTGAATCGTTAATTCAGGGTTCCACTCTGAAAACCGTAATAATAATTTTTTACTAGTAATCGTGATGTGAAAATAACTTACGATTTTCAGAGTTGAGCCCTTTTCACAATTTGCTTATTCAATTGTTTAATGTTTTTAATCTTTAATTTAATTAAAATTTTTATTGTTTAATTTCCTCTTAAACATCTATTACTTCGTCGCTATAAATAATTTATTATAATTATTTTATTTTAATAATTTTGAATTTAATTTAAATTTCTATTGTTTAATTTCCTCTTATAAATCTATTACTGCGTCGCTAGAAATAATTTATTATAATTATTTTATTTTAATAATTATTTATTATTATTTATATTCTAATATTTTTTAAAAATAATTTTCTTTTTGTACAGGAACTCGACAAGGACTTTTGCAAACAAAACTTGGTTTAATTTTAATAATTGCAAAATATGAGGTGTCAATAGTAAAAAAAACTGATCTTGAATTTGAAAAATTATCAATTCTCAGCTCTTCGAAAGGTGGTTTGTTTTTGAATATTCGCAAACTCGACTTAAAGGGAAAGTAGTCGGAAATAATACGAATTTACTATTTTTATACAAATTACCCATTTTCTCATCTCTGCTATATAATTAAAAATTAAATTATGATAATTGGAAAATTACATTTAATTTCTTATAAACAAGTCGTAAATGTTATTAAAATTGAAAAAGTTTGTAAAATAGAGCTAAATTCAAATATATAATAATAATAATCATAAAATTCATAATAATAATAATAATTTAATACTGTTATTTAAATTAATTTAATAATTAAAATAATTAAATAATAATAATAATAATTTTTAACGAATACTAATACATTATTTAAAAGTATAGATCTTATGTCAATTAGAATTAGATTTAAAATATTTGCGTCTAGTTTAATTATTTAGGAGGAAATAATAAATCCGATAAATAAAAGGTTTTAAATTTACATCTATACTCTTATTCTTTATTCTAATATTCAAATTGAAAATCTAAAAAAATCAGAAGTATGATTATAAAATATTTTTTCTAATTTAGTGGTAGAATAGTTTTTTTTTCCTACGGATTTTTCTAAAATTACATCTTCGATATTAATAATCGTTGTATTCCGATAGTGTGTTCGCAGTTTCAAGTTAACTCTTTATATCTGCTTCTTTCTTTCCTGATTTTTTTTTTAATTTTCTTCTTAAATGTTTCAAATTTTAAATTAAATAAAATTCTAATTTAATATTTTCAAGATTAAACAATAACAAAAATTAATTTAAACAAAATTATTTTCAAAATTCTAAAATATAAAAATAGTTACTTTCAAATTAATGCAGAAAAAATCAATTTTGTGATATTATTTTTTCAAGTAAAAATTTTGAAAATACTTTATTTCAATAATTTAACATTAAAAAGGGATTTTTTAAAAATTTTTAAAAAAAACTTTCGAAAAATAAAAAAATTAAATTTTTTTTTCATTTCTTCTTGTTTATTTTTAACAATTAAAAATAGTATATATATGAGACTACTGAAAATTGACCGGGTGTTTATTTCGTATATTGCAAAAAAATAAAAATAAAATCATCAAAGTTATACAGTAAAATTGTTTCATGTCAATAAATACAATATATTTTGATGTTACAAAGAAATTTTATTTGTTTAAACAAATTATTAATGTTATTTACCAACTTTTTTTAGAATGCAGCTAGAAAATTGCAGTTATTTCTCGAGTTTTTTCCTAATTTTGCAATTAACAAAACTTTATATGATTACAGATGAAGAATAAAAAATGAATTAGTTTTTAAACAATTTTTAAACAAATTATTACAAATTATTTTCATAAATAATAAAACTCATCGCAGACTTTCAATTATTTTTAATACAATTTTAATGAAATTCATCGAAAATTGTAATTATTCTTAAAAATTTTATTAAAATTTATCAAAAAAATCCAATTATTTTAAAAACCTTTATTTTCAAAAAATTTTATGAAATTCTTGGTATTAATTCAATTTTTTAAAATTTTAATAAAATTCTTCGTAGAGATTTAATTAATTTCAAAAAATTTGTCAAATTCAATTATTTTCAATGTCTACTATTTCAATAAAATTTCACAAAAGAATTGAATTATTTAAAAAGAAATTTTAATAAAATTCGTCTCAAGAATTTAATTATTTTTAAAAGTAATATAATTCTTCGCAGAAATTCAATATTGTTCAAAAATTTTTAAAAATTCTCGTCAAAAATTCAATTATCTTCAAAAGTATAATAAAATTTTTCTCTGGAATTTAAATATTTTGAAAAATTTTAATAAAATTCTGGATAGAATTTTAATTATTTTTTAATAATTAAAATGGAAAAATTTTAATGGAATTCCTCGAAAAATGAAATTATTCTTAAAAATGTTATTGAAATTTGTCAAGAGAATTCAATTATTTAAAAATTTGTTGATAAAATTCTTTATAAGAATTAAATTTTAAGAAACATTCAATTATTTAATAAAATATTTATTTTTGTATTTAATTGATTGTAAAATAAAGAAATAAAAAAATAAATAATTGAATTTTCGTAGAATTTTCTAATAAATATTGATTAAAAAATGGATTTCAGTTAAAATTTTATATAATAATTGAATATTAAAAGCATTACAGCGTAAATGTTAAAAAATTATTGAATTTTGAAAAGGTTTTAAATTAAAATCTTTGAAAATCTGTATTTTTTATACTTTTAACTAACAATTTTGCAGAATTATTTTTTTTTGAAAGAGTTTAACTGAATTTTTTTTAAAAATTATTTTATGCTTTTATTTTCTAATATATAATTAATTGAAGAATTTTCGAGTAAAAATTAAAAATTAAAAAAATTTAATTGTAAACAAATGGATTTGAAAGTTATTTAAAAACTTTTTAAAAAATTATTAAAATTAATTTATTTAAAGAAAAATTTTAGTTAAAAATTCTAAAAAATAATAGTTGAATTGAATTGATGAAAATAATTTTGAAAAACATTTTTTTAAATATCTAATAATTTTTAGAGTGAATCAGAATATTCTTTATACTTTTCATTAAAAATTCTGTAGAATTAATTTTTTTCAAAAAGTTTAATGGACTTTTTTTTTAATTATATAAAGTTTTTAATTTCTAATATATTTAATTGAAGAATGTCAGAAGAATTGAAATTTCGTAAAAATAAATTGTAAACTAAAGAAAATTTGAAAATTCTCAAAGAACTTTTTCAAAAATTATTTTTAAAAAATTGACTTAAAGAAGAATTTTAGTTGATGAATTCTAGAAATGAATAATTGTCAGTAGTTTTATATTATTTATCAATCTAGAGAAAATTAACGTTATTTATTTAATAATTAATATAGATTTAATTTTTTTTTTGCTTTGTTTTTATTTTCTTCTTTTTGTATACATTTTCTGAAATTTTATCTTTTGCAATGTAAGATAATAAGGTAACTGCTTTTAATTGATATAGTGAGTCGAATAAATCTCAAATTACGCTCTTACTTTTCAATCTTGCAACTGTTCATTAAAAATGATAAGTACTTGATGTTTTTGAACATCATTGTGACATCATAATTCGTCTCAAATAAGAACAGAATTCAATGTTGATATGTGCGACAGTCTCCCTCATCAATTCATTCAAGGAATATTGAGAAAAAAATTTTTTTGATTACAAGTAAACGACATAAGTGAAAATTAACTTTAATTAAAATCTTAAAAATTCCTAAATTGATTTAAAAATTTTTAAAAGTTGATTTTAAAATTTTTATCAGTTGATTTAAAAATTTTTAACAGTTGATTTAAAAATTATTAACAGTTGATTTAAATCTTTTTTTTTTTTTTAGAAAGAAAAAATCGGTGAATTTTCAAAGGAAGAATGGAATCGTTGTCGTTGATTTTGTACGGAGTGATTGTTGTGCCATCGATTTTGATTCTAGTTGCCTACTTTTATATGACAAGAAATTTTAAATACTGGAAGAAACGTGGAGTTGAAGAAATCCCACCGACTCCATTTGTTGGGAATTTTGGAAAATATTTTAAACATAAAAAATCTCCTGGTGCATTGTTTAAAACAATCTACGATGAAAATGAAGATTTACCGTATGTGGGAATTTACGTTTTGGATAAGCCATGCCTTTTGATACGTGATCCTGAATTACTGAAATTAATTCTCATAAAGGATTTTAATTATTTTTCGGATAAATTTATGCACTCGAGTGAACATGACGTTGTGAGCAATAATAGTCTATTTTTCGTTGACAATCCCCAATGGAAATATATTCGACAAAAGTTTACTGGCCTATTTACAACTGGAAAAATGAAGAGTATGCTTGAGAATGTGCAGGAAGTTGGAGTCGATCTTAATGATTATTTAAATTCACTTCAATTGGAGGGTAAGAATTTTTGTTTATGAAAATATTTATATTTTTATTATTTTCATTTTTCTCTGCGTGTATATTTAATATTTATATTTATTATGTTAATTATATTTACATTTTACGAGCGAAAATGTATTTTTCGAAAGAATTCAATTATTATTTGGTAGGTGGTCACTTTTTCTAAAAAAATATTTTCTAATCCTCTTTATTAGAAGAAAGAACATTAGAAAATCACCTTCATTAGAAATAAGTTTTTGAAAAATTCACATTCATTAAAAAAAAATTTTTCAAGTAATATCATTAAAAATAGTTAAAGAAAAGCTTCAAAATAATTTAATTGTTACAGAAATTTTAATAAATTTTTTTTTAAATTGATTATATTCAAAAAATTTAAAAAATTTTTTTGAAAGAATTCAATTATTTTGTCAAAAATTCAAAAAAATTCAAAAATCCGATTTTCTTAAAATTCAACATTTTTTCCTCTCTTTTATGGGATTTAGCTTCATTATTTTTGTGCTTTTGGAAAATACTTTAGTTATTGAATAGTCCGGACTCTTTGGTAAAAAATCTAAAATTCTCAAAAATTCGAAAAAATTCAAAAATCCGATTTTCTTAAAATTCAACATTTTTTCCTCTCTTTTATGGGATTTAGCTTCATTATTTTTGTGCTCTTGGAAAATACTTTACTTATTGAATTGTCTCGAGACTCTTTGGTAAAAAATCTAGAATTATCAAAAATTCGAAAAAATTCAAAAATCCGAATTTCTTAAAATTCAACATTTTTTCCTCTCTTTTATGGGATTCAGCTTCATTATTTTTGTGCTCTTGGAAAATACTTTACTTATTAAATTGTCTCGACTCTTTGGTAAAAAATCTGAAATTATCAAAAATTCGAAAAAATTCAAAAAACCGAATTTCTTAAAATTCAACATTTTTTCCTCTCTTTTATGGGATTTAGCTTCATTATTTTTGTGCTTTTGGAAAATACTTTACTTATTAAATTTTCTGGACTCTTTGGTAAAAAATCTAAAATTATCAAAAATTCGAAAAAATTCAAAAAACCGAATTTCTTAAAATTCAACATTTTTGCCTCTCTTTTATGGGATTTAGCTTCATTATTTTTGTGCTTTTGGAAAATACTTTACTTATTAAATTGTCTCGACTCTTTGGTAAAAAATCTGAAATTATCAAAAATTCGAAAAAATTCAAAAAACCGAATTTCTTAAAATTCAACATTTTTTCCTCTCTTTTATGGGATTTAGCTTCATTATTTTTGTGCTTTTGGAAAATACTTTACTTATTAAATTTTCTGGACTCTTTGGTAAAAAATCTAAAATTATCAAAAATTCGAAAAAATTCAAAAATCCGAATTTCTTAAAATTCAACATTTTTTCCTCTCTTTTATGGGATTTAGCTTCATTATTTTTGTGCTTTTGGAAAATACTTTACTTATTAAATTTTCTCGACTCTTTGGTAAAAAATCTGAAATTATCAAAAATTCGAAAAAATTCAAAAAACCGAATTTCTTAAAATTCTACATTTTTTCCTCTCTTTTATGGGATTTAGCTTCATTATTTTTGTGCTTTTGGAAAATACTTTACTTATTAAATTTTCTGTACTCTTTGGTAAAAAATCTAAAATTATCAAAAATTCGAAAAAATTCAAAAATCCGAATTTCTTAAAATTCAACATTTTCCCTCTCTTTTATGGGATTTAGCTTCATTATTTTTGTGCTTTTAGAAAATACTTTAGTTATTGAATAGTCCGGACTCTTTGGTAAAAAATCTGAAATTATCAAAAATTCGAAAAAATTCAAAAAACCGAATTTCTTAAAATTCAACATTTTTTCCTCTCTTTTATGGGATTCAGCCTTATTATTTTTGTGCTCTTGGAAAATACTTTACTTATTAAATTGTCTCGACTCTTTGGTAAAAAATCTGAAATTATCAAAAATTCGAAAAAATTCAAAAATCCGAATTTCTCAAAATTCAACATTTTTTCCTCTCTTTTATGGGATTTATCTTCATTATTTTTGTGCTTTTTGAAAATACTTTACTTATTAAATTGTCTTGATTCTTTGGTAAAAAATCTGAAATTATCAAAAATTCGAATTTCTTAAAATTCTACATTTTTTCCTCTCTTTTATGGGATTTAGCTTCATTATTTTTGTGCTCTTGGAAAATACTTTACTTATTAAATTTTCTAGACTCTTTGGTAAAAAATCTAAAATTATCAAAAATTCGAAAAAATTCAAAAAACCGAATTTCTTAAAATTCAACATTTTTTCCTCTCTTTTATGGGATTTAGCTTCATTATTTTTGTGCTTTTGGAAAATACTTTACTTATTAAATTTTCTAGACTCTTTGGTAAAAAATCTAAAATTATCAAAAATTCGAAAAAATTCAAAAATCCGAATTTCTTAAAATTCAACATTTTTTCCTCTCTTTTATGGGATTTAGCTTCATTATTTTTGTGCTTTTGGAAAATACTTTACTTATTAAATTTTCTGGACTCTTTGGTAAAAAATCTAAAATTATCAAAAATTCGAATTTCTTAAAATTCTACATTTTTTCCTCTCTTTTATGGGATTTAGCTTCATTATTTTTGTGCTCTTGGAAAATACTTTACTTATTAAATTTTCTAGACTCTTTGGTAAAAAATCTAAAATTATCAAAAATTCGAAAAAATTCAAAAAACCGAATTTCTTAAAATTCAACATTTTTTCCTCTCTTTTATGGGATTTAGCTTCATTATTTTTGTGCTTTTGGAAAATACTTTACTTATTAAATTTTCTAGACTCTTTGGTAAAAAATCTAAAATTATCAAAAATTCGAAAAAATTCAAAAAACCGAATTTCTTAAAATTCAACATTTTTTCCTCTCTTTTATGGGATTTAGCTTCATTATTTTTGTGCTTTTGGAAAATACTTTACTTATTAAATTTTCTGGACTCTTTGGTAAAAAATCTAAAATTATCAAAAATTCGAAAAAATTCAAAAATCCGAATTTCTTAAAATTCAACATTTTTTCCTCTCTTTTATGGGATTCAGCTTCATTATTTTTGTGCTCTTGGAAAATACTTTACTTATTAAATTGTCTCGACTCTTTGGTAAAAAATCTGAAATTATCAAAAATTCGAAAAAATTCAAAAAACCGAATTTCTTAAAATTCAACATTTTTTCCTCTCTTTCATGGGATTTAGCTTCATTATTTTTGTGCTTTTGGAAAATACTTTACTTATTAAATTTTCTGGACTCTTTGGTAAAAAATCTAAAATTATCAAAAATTCGAAAAAATTCAAAAATCCGAATTTCTTAAAATTCAACATTTTCCCTCTCTTTTATGGGATTTAGCTTCATTATTTTTGTGCTTTTAGAAAATACTTTAGTTATTGAATAGTCCGGACTCTTTGGTAAAAAATCTGAAATTATCAAAAATTCGAAAAAATTCAAAAAACCGAATTTCTTAAAATTCAACATTTTTTCCTCTCTTTCATGGGATTTAGCTTCATTATTTTTGTGCTTTTGGAAAATACTTTACTTATTAAATTTTCTGGACTCTTTGGTAAAAAATCTAAAATTATCAAAAATTCGAAAAAATTCAAAAATCCGAATTTCTTAAAATTCAACATTTTCCCTCTCTTTTATGGGATTTAGCTTCATTATTTTTGTGCTTTTGGAAAATACTTTACTTATTAAATTTTCTGGACTCTTTGGTAAAAAATCTAAAATTATCAAAAATTCGAAAAAATTCAAAAATCCGAATTTCTTAAAATTCAACATTTTCCCTCTCTTTTATGGGATTTAGCTTCATTATTTTTGTGCTTTTAGAAAATACTTTAGTTATTGAATAGTCCGGACTCTTTGGTAAAAAATCTGAAATTATCAAAAATTCGAAAAAATTCAAAAATCCGAATTTCTTAAAATTCAACATTTTCCCTCTCTTTTATGGGATTTAGCTTCATTATTTTTGTGCTTTTAGAAAATACTTTAGTTATTGAATAGTCCGGACTCTTTGGTAAAAAATCTGAAATTATCAAAAATTCGAAAAAATTCAAAAAACCGAATTTCTTAAAATTCAACATTTTTTCCTCTATTTTATGGGATTTAGCTTCATTATTTTTGTGCTTTTGGAAAATACTTTACTTATTAAATTTTCTGGACTCTTTGGTAAAAAATCTAAAATTATCAAAAATTCGAAAAAATTCAAAAATCCGAATTTCTTAAAATTCAACATTTTCCCTCTCTTTTATGGGATTTAGCTTCATTATTTTTGTGCTTTTAGAAAATACTTTAGTTATTGAATAGTCCGGACTCTTTGGTAAAAAATCTGAAATTATCAAAAATTCGAAAAAATTCAAAAAACCGAATTTCTTAAAATTCAACATTTTTTCCTCTCTTTTATGGGATTTAGCTTCATTATTTTTGTGCTTTTGGAAAATACTTTACTTATTAAATTTTCTGGACTCTTTGGTAAAAAATCTAAAATTATCAAAAATTCGAAAAAATTCAAAAATCCGAATTTCTCAAAATTCAACATTTTTTCCTCTCTTTTATGGGATTTATCTTCATTATTTTTGTGCTTTTGGAAAATACTTACTTATTAAATTTTCTCGACTCTTTGGTAAAAAATCTGAAATTATCAAAAATTCGAAAAAATTCAAAAAACCGAATTTCTTAAAATTCAACATTTTTTCCTCTCTTTTATGGGATTTAGCTTCATTATTTTTGTGCTTTTTGAAAATACTTTACTTATTAAATTGTCTTGATTCTTTGGTAAAAAATCTGAAATTATCAAAAATTCGAATTTCTTAAAATTCTACATTTTTTCCTCTCTTTTATGGGATTTAGCTTCATTATTTTTGTGCTCTTGGAAAATACTTTACTTATTGAATTGTCTCGAGACTCTTTCATAAAAAATAAAAAATTATTAAAACAAAAAAAAAAAAAAATCCAAAAAATTGAATTTCTTAAAATTCAACATTTTTTCTTCTCTTTTATGCCATTTAGCTTTATTATTATTTGAATTTCTATTAAAGAGAAATAATGGAAAATTGAAAAATTTTGGAAACATACAACATTCCCGCGCGCTTGCGCGCGGATAGTGTGGCTAGTAATAATAAAAAATCATAGAGTAAAGATTTATTTTTTTTTTTTGAGTAAAGATTTTTTTTAATTAAAACTAATAATAATTAATTAATTAATTAATGGTGTTAATTATTTTTCAGGAGCTGGTAAACCTGTGAATATTAAAGATCTCGCCGGCAAATTCACTACCGATTTGATTGGACAAGCGTCGTTTGGATTAAAATTGAATAGTTTAAAGAATTCTGAGGCTGAATTTCGAAAATTTGGAAAAGCAATGTTTGGCACTTATAATGTGAAGAGAGCTCTTGAACTTGCTTGCGTCTGGCTTGCGCCGCAATATGCAACACTTTTTGGATTCAAATTTTTTCTGGATAGTGCGACGAATTTTTTTCGTACAGCCTTTCAGGATATTTTAGATGAACGCAAACAATCGAATGTGAAGAGAAACGATTTAATTGACCTAATGATTCAACTGCGAGATAATGATGACAATAATCCAGAGTCACATGGTTTTAGTATGTTTTTATTTTTTTATCTATTTTCTTTTTTTTCTCTTTCTATTTTGCTTTTTCATCTTTTTATCCTTTTATTTATTTATCTTTTTTATCTATTTTCTTTTCTTATCTTCTTTGCTTTTTATCTCTTTGTCGTTTTATCTCTTTATCTTTTTATTTATTATTTTATTTTTTTTTATTTATTTTTATTTTTTTTTATTTATTTTTATTTATTTTTATTTATATTTTTATTTATATTTTTATTTGTTACATAAACGGTACCAAACAGAGAATCTTTTGTACACTAAGTAGGCACTTAATTCATAAAATTTCCTAACATAATTGAAGAGTGGTTTGTCTTTTTTTATTTTTTTTATCTTTTTGAGTAATAACTATATAATTTAAATTTTCTTCTACTTGCAGAATTTCAAGGCGATAATTTATTAGCACAAGCGCTCATTATATTTGCGGCAGGTTATGATACATCGTCAGCAGTTACGAGTTTTGCTCTATTCGAAATGTCAAAACATCCGGAAATGCAAACGAAATTAAGAAACGAAATCAATCAAGCTCTTAAAATGAATAACGGAAAAATAACATATGAGATGGTAAACAAGACAAATTTCCTGTTATAAATTAAATAATTTTTAATTTATTAAAAGTTATATAATTATTACAAATTATTTTTATTATTCAAAAAAAATTAAGATACCCAAAAATTATTATTAGAAATTATTTCTATTATTCAAAAAAATAATTATTAAAAATTGATGCTATTAAAAAAATTAATTTTTCTTGCATAAAAATTCTTTGAACGTATCATTAAGTTTATAATTTTCTTTTTTTTCACAGATAACGGATTTGCAATATTTGGACATGGTTTTGTCGGAGACTTTGAGAAAATATCCGACATTGCCATTTATCGATAGGAAAGCGACAAGAAATTATAAAATTGAAGAAACGGGACTTGTGATTGAAAAAGGAACGCCAATAATTATTCCAATGCTGGGTTTGCACTACGATCCGAAATATTTTCCAAATCCTCATGAATTTGATCCAGAAAGATTTTCAAACGAAAGAAAATCGTCTATTAATCCATATGCTTACATGCCTTTTGGTATTGGTGGACGGAATTGTATTGGTAAAGAAAAATTTCCCATTTTCGAATTTAATAATTTTCATTTAATTTTTAAAACTTACGTTAATGAAATAAAACATTATTTCATTTTATTTATTCTATTTAAATATTCATAAAATTCTTGGCAGGAATTTCATTATTTTTATAAGGATAATGAAATTTTTCACAAGAATTCAATTCTATTTTTCTATACAATAAATTTTTTTGCAGTAATTAAATTACATTTTTATGAATAATAAACTTCTTCACAGAAATTCGATTATTATTTTAAAGAGTTTTGATAAAAAATTTTTATAAGAATTCAAATATTTTGAAAAAAATTGAATAAAATTCTACGTAAAAATTGAATTATACTTTTTATAAATAATAAAATTCTTTATAGGAATTTAAATATTTTCAATACAATTTTAAAAAAATTACCCGGAAGAATTATCATTTTCTTCTAAACAATTATATTGTTTTAAGAAACTTAAATAAATTCTTATCAAGAATTTAAATATTTAAATAATTAATAAAATTCTTTCGAGGAATCCAATTCTTTTCAATACAATTTTAAATATATTTCTTGATGGAAGTCAATTATTATTTTTAAAAATTTTAATAAATTTTTCCGAAAGAATTCAATTGTTTATAAAAATTTTATTTAAATTCTACGGAAGAATTAAATTATTTTTAGTACAATTTTCGAACAATTTCTCCCGAGAATTAAAATATTTTCAAAAAATTTAATAAAATGTTGAGAAGAATTCAATTATTTAAAGAAAATTTTAATATAAATTTAATATCTAATAAAATCTTTAATTTACAAATTTACAATTATTAACGAACACGATTATATTAAAAACTTTAAGGAAATTCTTCTTATAAATCAATTATTTTCGAAATTTTCAAATAACATTATAAAAAAGTACATTATTTTCAAAAAATTTAAAAGAATTCTTCAAAAGTATTTAACTTTTTTTTTGAAAATTTGATAAAATTCCTTAAAAGAATTGGAATATAATTCCATAAACAATAAAGATTCTTTTCAGAAATTTAATTGTTCTCAATACAATTTTACTAAAATTTTTTGAAAATAATTTAATTCTTTCGATAATTTTTCTGTTAAAAAAATGTTATATAGTTTTTCTGACTTTATTTAATTTTAAGTTTAGTATAATTTAATTCTTACTTCGAATTTTTATAGAATTTTTCAATTTACAAAAACAATTGAATTCTTGAGAAGAATTTTATTAAAAATTTAGAAAATAATTGATTTTCTGCAAAGAATTTGATTAAGATTTAAAATATTGTAAATAATTGAATTTTTTATAAAAAATTTTTGTTTTTATAGAAATTCTTTATAAAATTTTATTAAAAATTTAAAAAAATATTTGAATCCTTTCGTAAATTTTAAAAAAAATTGTATTGAAAATAATAAATTGAATTCCTGTAAAGAATTTTATTAAAATTTTAGATATTGAAAAGAATTGAATTTCTGTGAAGAATTTTTTTTTAAATTTATAGAAATAATTGAATCCTTTCCCCAATTTTTTTAAAAATTTAAAAAAATAATTGAATCCTTTCCCCAATTTTTTTTAAAAATTTAAAAAAATAATTGAATCTTTTCCTCAATTTTTTTTAAAATTGTATTAAAATAATTTAATTCCTGCAAAGAATGTTATTAAAATTTTAAATATTGAAAATTATTGAATTTCTGAAAAGAATTTTATTATTTATAAAAATAATTGAATTTTCGCTTAGAATTTGATTAAAATTTTAGAAAATAATTGAATTCTTGCCAAGAATTTTATTAAATTTTTTTGAAAGTACGTAATTGAATTCTGTAAGAAGAAATTTTTATCAATATTTTATTGATATTATTTAATTTCTCAAAACAATTTTAGAACGTACGAAAATAAAAAAATTTTGAGGGAAGAATATTATTAAATTTTTTGAAAGTAATTTAATTGTTTCGAAGAAAATTCTTCCCAGTAATTTAGTTAAAAAACTTATTGAAAATAATTGAATTCTTTCGACAAATTTGTATAAAAATTTGAAAAAATAATGGAATTCTTTCCTGCAATTTCATTTAAATTTCATTATAAATAATTAAATTCCTGCGAAGAATTATATTATTTATAAAAATAATTGCATTCTTGCAAAAAATGATATTATCTAGGAAAATAATTAAAATTCCTACGAAGAATTTTATTGTATTTTTTTGAAAATAATTGATTTCTTTCAACTCTTTTCTTTATTAGAAATCTATTTATTTATTTTATAAGAAAAAATAATTAGATAATAATATAATAAAAATTATATAATTGACGAATTATTTTTTTCAGGGATGCGACAAGGTCTCTTGCAAACGAAACTTGGTATAATTTACATTATTTCAAAATATGAGGTGTCGCTGTTAAAAAATACTTCTATAAAATTTGATAAACTATCAGTGCTTAGTTCCTCAAAAGGTGGTTTATTCCTAAATATGCGAAAACTCGATGTGGCGAATTGAACAATTTTTTTTAACGAAAGAAAACAATTTTAGTGATATTATTTACTCTGGTCTATTAAACGAAGATGGAAATAATTGTTTAGAATAAAATTTCACTAATATTTTCAATTCTCTATTAGTAAAATTTTTTTCGACAATGACACTGTAAATAAAAAATGTATAATATTCTTAATTTAAGAAAATGTGTTGGCACATATTAAAATAAACGTTACTTTATAATTAAATTTTTCAAGTTAGAGTATAATTATTATATTCTCTATAAATTGTAGAATTTAATTTTTATAATTATATAAATACAAAATAAAGTAGGTATTTTATGTTATTAAGTAAAATTTAATACATTATTCTGTACAAAGAAAACTAATTTTTCTCTCAAGGATTTTGTTTTGGCCAAAAATTTCCAAATACGTTTTTTCACTTTTCCTTACGTTCTCTGACCTTAAGAATTCATAAATTATATTTTAAAAAATGTCACTTCTTGTGCGTTTTGCGTTTACAAAATTTTTCAAAAATCGTTTTTTTGCGAATATTATTGAAAGTTACAAATAAATTTTTAGAAAATTCGTAAATTTTCAAATATTATTGCAATTATTATGGCGCAAATGTTATTTAAAAAAATTGCAAATTGTTAATAAGAAATTTCAAATATTTACAAAATGTTTTGAGACTTTTTTTCTTTACATTTGTAGCACTTTTCGTTTTACATTTTACAAAAAGTTTTATATTTCTCAAAAAAGAGTTAAGTTATATTTTTTTAAATTAAGAATTTACATTTTTTTTCAGTGACAAAAATAATTACTCGTAAAAGAAAATCTTCCGTATAAATTGGTATTAATTTAGTATCAAAAAGTTGTGTAGAATAAATTGTTGATTTGAGTTTTTAAATTACTTATTTGCATAATTCAATTTACTGGTAGACGTAAAAATAATTAAAAAATCTTTTTATAACAATAATTTCGAAAATTAAAATCAATCTGAAAAATTAACTGAACAAAATTGTTTAATTAACTGAACAAAATCATAATTTAATTTGTAAATTTTATTAAAAATAGTTTAAACTAATAATAATTTCTTAATTCTTGTTTGATAAGCACTTTTTTCACATGGTATTTATAACTTATTTATTATAAAGAAACAAAATTTTCTACTTTGAAAAGCAAATTCCTTGCTATCTTCCTATCCGAAAGTAAAAAATAGAAATATTTTTGTCGATTTTGTGCAGTGAAAATTTCAAACGTCAAATCTACTTTTAAATTCATAATTTTTTTATTATTATTGGAGAAAGAGGAATTCGCTGGAAGTGGAATCTGAAAAAATAAAATAAAAGGCAAACAAAAACATCACTGGAAAAAAATCCTCTTCAATTATTGGTAAAATTTTTGTACATTGAAAATTAGTTATAAAATTATTTGTTATTGAAAAAGTATATTTTTTGTTAGAAAATAATGAGAAAAACGCGCGGTTTTAATAAAAAGCTGTTTTTTTTATAACAATAATTATAAAAATATTATTAACTATTATAATTATAAAACTGTAATTAAATAATTTTTGTAAACTGTAATTTCTTTCTTATTTTATTTCTTATTTAAAAAAAGACAAAAAAAATTAAAATCAAGTCAAAGAACTTGGTGGAAAATTTAACAAAAAATTTACTGATTCAATTCAAATTCAGTAAATTTATTCCTTATTTTTTTCATAATCTTTATTCTAAATTATTGAAATTATAAAATTATAAAATTTTATCTTCGTTTTAATTATTTTTTGTTTGTTTTAGAAATTCAAGGCGATAATCTATCTGCGTGATAATATGTCTTTCAGTTTATGTGAATTGACTAAACATGAGAATGAAATGGAAGAATTAAAATTATTAACGATGAAACAAAAAAAAAAAAAGGGAAAAAGAATGAATTGACAATTTACATTCTGAAATAAAATTGGAATGAAATTTTGTGTCTGACGTAAAGAGGAAGAGGAAAATCCAATGATTATTGTGCCTTCGTCATAAATAATAGACTCTAGAAAAAATGTGGACCAAAGGGCTTGCAGTGAAACAGGTGAATGTAAAAATTAAAAAATTTTTTTTTTCTCTTCGATTTTTTTTGTCGAAGGATGTTTACTATTTTATTAATAAGTATACTTTTTTTATAGGGCTGCTCATTAATTCAACGAGTAAATTACTTGTTGAATTCGATTCGAAATTTCATGACGTTGGAGACACTTATCAAACTGCGTATGAAACAGTAATTGTGGAATTAACTCTCGACTACTGAATATTTAAAATCTAATGATTCGAGATTTGAACCAATTATCCTTTGAAATTTGGGTGTTTATATTGTTACAACATTTTCGATCGTAAATTGACGTGTCACGAAATACATTTTCAATGACTATAAATATAAAGATTTTCCAATGGTGAGATTTAATCTCTTTTGGGAGCTTCGCCATTGGAGTTGCTTCCTTCGGCACAATTTTGAGGTAAAAGTGACTGTTTCATTCAATAATCAATTAGAAAAATAATTTTAAAAAATTGAATTCAATAAAAAAAATACCTATCAATAAAATAATTTTTTCTTTTGGGAAGAAAAACATTAGAAATTCTCATTTCTTAATATTTTTGTAGAAAATTCTCAATTTTAATTAAGGAAACAATTTGCAACAATTCTATTTCTTAATTTCAATTTTATTGTTTTAATAAAATCCAGCATTTTTTAAAAATAAAGGAAAAAAATGTTTATAAATTATATTTGTCAATTAGAAGATTTAATTGAAAATGAAACTGAAAATTTTTTAATTTTTAGAAAGTAAAGGAAAAAATTTTATTGAAAATAATGTTTTGTTAAATTTATTTACGAATATCTTTAATGGTAAAATTATTCGAAAACAATAATTTCTTTTTTAAGTATTTTAAATATTTAATTATTATTATTTTTACGTAGGAATTAAAATTCTTCAAAACATTCAAATTCAAACCTTTTTGAAATTAATCAACATTAAAAATATTGTTATAAAACATAAAGAAATCGATCACTCCGAGTCGAAGACTCGTTAAAATAATTTTTTTATATTATAAGAATATTATTGTTACTGTAATTTCTTAATAATAATTTTCATATTCTATTATTATCTAAAATTTAACCTAAAATTCATTTTTAAATCAATTTTTATTAAAAAATTCTACGAGAATTCAATTATTTAAATACTAATAATGTAAATTATTTATTGAATAATTGAATGTTTCTTAAAATTTAAATCTTATAGAGAATTTTATTAATTTTTAAATATTTGAATTCTTTTGACCAATTTTAATAAAATTTTTTAGAATTGTTACATTTTTCAAGGAATTCGTTTAAAATTGTATTAAAAATAATTGAAATTCTACGATGATTTTTTATATTTCTGAAAATAATTGAATTATTCAGAAGAAACTTATGAAAAATTGGTAAATATTTGAATTCCTGGGAAATTTTTATTATTTATGAAAATAATTGAATGTTTGAGTAGAATTTTATTAAAATTGTTTTTAAAAAATTGAATTCTTTTGGGTAATTTTATTACTATAGTAGAAATCGAAAATCATTGAAATTAGAAAAATGCATTTTATTTTTGAAAATAATCGAAATTTTGACAAGAATTTTATTAAAATTTTTCAAAATAATTTAATTTTGAAGAAGAATTTTTTTATTTATAAAGATAATAATTGGGATTTTGTCGAGATTCTTTTTGTAAATTTTGAAGTATTAATTTTAAAATTAATTTTTCATAAAGAATTTTATCAACAAATTTCTAAATAATTGAGTTCTTTGGACGAGTTTTAATCAAATTTTTAAGAATAATTCCTTTTTTCGAGAAATTCAATTAAAATTGTATTAAAAATAATTGAAATTCTGCAATGAGTTTTATTATTTTTATAAAAATAATTGAATTATTGTGAATAAATTTTTATTAAAGCTTTTTTTTTAAATTTTTATTAAAAATTTGGCAATGAATTTTATTAAAATTTTTTAAAATAATGGAATTTTATTACTTTTGAAAATAATTGAATTCTTATGATGAATATTGTTATTTATGAAAATAATTGACTTCCTCCGAATGATTTTCTTATTTATGAAAATAATAAGAATTTTTAAATTTATGAAAATAATTGAATTACTGTGAAGAATTTAATGCCAAATTGTAAAATATTTGATCTATTGAAAAATTTTATGCAAATTCTATTTTAAATTATTAAATTCTTGTACAATTTTTATTTGTTCGAAAAATAATTGAATGTTCGAGTAGAATAGGTATTATCGAAATTTTTGTTTAATAATTAAATTCTTTTGGAAAATTTTATTAAAATAGTAGGTAATTTATTGAAAATCATTGAATTAAGACAAATTTTGAAAATTATTAAAATTTTTGAAAATAATTGGATTTTATTACTTTTGAAAATAATTGAATTTTTGTAATGAATACTTTTATTTATGAAAATAATTGAATTCCTAAAAAGAATTATTCAAATTTTGACAAGAAGTTTTAAAAATTTTTCAACATAATTGAGATTTTTCCAGAAACTTTATTAAAATTTTTCAAAATAATTGAATTTCGGAGAAAAATTTTATTATTTATAAAAATATTTGAAATTTGCCGGAGAATTTTATTATTTGTAAAGATAATTGAAATTTTACGGAGAATTTTTAAAAATTTTTTTTCATAATTGAATTTTTGCGAAGATTTTTATTGAATTCTTTTAGGTAATTTTATTAAAATAATAGATATTGAAAATTATTGAAATAAGGATAATTTTTGAAAATAATTGAAATTTTGACAAGAATTTTATTAAAATTTTTGAAAATAATTGAATTTTAAAGAAACATTTTTTTATTTATAAAGATAATAATTGAGATTTTGTCGAGATTTTTTTGGTAAATTCTGAACATAATTTAATTTTGCGATAGGAATTTTATTACTTTCGAAAATAATTGAATTTCTGCAACCATTTGTAATTTCTTCAAAATTCAATTTTTTCGTGTTTTTAACTAAAATTCTTCTATAAATCCATTATTTTCAATAATTAATTAAATATATTGACAAATTTAACTAATTTTAGAAGATTTTGAATTATTAAAATTTTCCTAATATTTTAAGTTCATTAAAATTTCTAATGATATTCATTCAAGATTGAAATTTTCTAAAATTTCAAATTGAAACCGTTTGAAGTTCATTTATTTATAAAAATTGTAAACGCAACTCTTTTAAAATTGAATTAATTTTGAAATATTTAAATAAAATTATTCATTAAATAATTTATTTATTGTATGATAGTTGTTCAAGATTGAAGTTATTTAAAAAGAAATTTTTGTCAGAAATTAAAAAAATTGAAGGTTTTTTTTAGAATTTGTGGTAATTTTCTAGTTTAGGAGTCAAACAAAAAAGACACAAAAATTCAGAATTTTCTTATGAATTCTAAAAATTTAATTTTTTTCAGTACTTTTAATAAAAATTCCTGACTTTTCCCTGAATTCCCTTTGTCAGAAGATATGATTATTATAATTATAATAATATTAAAACTATATATTCCAATTTATATTTTATTTTTATAAAAAAAATAGAATTATTTCTTTTTATTTAAATATTTAAAAATAAATTTTTTTTAAATTTTAATTAAAATTTTTAATTGCATAATGAATTATTGTGAAAAGCGTTTTATTGTAAAAAAATTTTAATTGTAGAATGAATTATTGTGGAGAATATTTTATTTGCAAAAAAAAATTTAATTACAGAAGGAATTATTGTGAGAAATATTTTATTTGGAAAAAATTTTTATTACATAAGGAATTATTGTGAGAAATATTTTATTTTAAAAAAAATATGTTATGGTAAATTATTTACTCCTTGTGTCTTTTTGTGATTTTTTTCTTTTCTTATGAATGAATGAATTAATATTGTTCTTATTGAATCACTGGCAAATTGCTCTGAGAAGTTACGTTAATAATACGTTTAAATAATTAATGTTTCACTTTGTAAATTTTCATTAAGAATGTGCATTATATTATGAAAATTGTGTCGTGATTGTAGGATAAACAGAAACACGTGGTATCTTAATTTGTAATAACACATTTGCAGTTTTCAATTCCTTAAAAGACTTAAAGACAAAAGGACGTGTGATCTATAAAATTAATATTGAGTGAAAAAAAAATTATTATTTAATGCTTGCAATTTGTTGACATTGTTTGATATAAAATTCCTTAAAAATCAGGAAAGCAAAAACTAATTAGAAAATGATTTTTCAGTTTTTATTTCGAGATTGAAGAATGGAATTCCTATCATGGATTTTTTGTGGAGCGATTACAGTGATAACGTTAATTATAACAAGTGGATATTTTTATACAACTCGTAAATTTGGATATTGGAAAAATCGTGGAGTTTTTGAAGTTCCGCCAACGCCATTCGTTGGAAATTGTGGAAAATATTTTAAACATGAGAAATCTCCTGGTACTTTGTTAAAAAAATTCTACGATGAAAATAAAAATGAACCGTATATGGGATTTTATATGGTGGACGAGCCATGTCTTTTAGTTCATGATCCGGAAATTATTAAACGAATATTTATAAAAGATTTCAATTCGTTTACGGATAAATGGATGAGATCCGGCAAAAATGATGGTATTAATCATTCAGTATTTTTCATTGACAATCCACATTGGAAATATTTGAGGCAAAAATTCACCAATTTATTTACACCTGGAAAAATGAGGAGTAATTTTGATAGTTTCGCAGTGATTGGAAACGATCTCACTGAATATTTGGATTCTCTTCAGTTGGAAGGTTTTTATTTTATCATTATTTATAAGAATTACATTTTGAATTAGAATTAAAAAATAATTAAAATTCAAATAAATTTCTCAATTTTTTTATTAATTAATTTTATTAATTCAATTCTTTTATTAAATAAATTTGTTTGCTTTTTGTTTTCTTCTATATTAATAAATTTTCTTCTTCAATGTTTTGAATTAAAAAATAATAAAAGTCTAACATAATGCCTTAAAAATTAAATAATAATAAAAATTATTTAAACAAAATTGTATTGAGTCAAAAATTATAATTTAATTTGTGAACTTAATTTAACATTCTAATCTATAAGAATCCTAATTCAATTCTTTCGAAACATTTTCTTTGTACATTTTTTAAAAATAATTGAATTTTTGCAAAGAATTTTAATGAAACTTTTTTAAATAATTGAATTTTTTAAATTTCATTTAAATTTTACTGAAAATAATTGAATTCATACAAAGAATTTTATTATTTTTGAGAATACATAATTGAATTTTTACGGAGAATTTTATTAAAACTTTTATGAATTCTTTCAATGAATTTTATAAAATTTTCGAAATTAACAGAATTCTTTCAAGAAATTTTATTAAAATTTTTTTGAAAATAATTAATAAAGATTTTAAAAACTTTTAAAAATAATTTACTGAATTTTTGCGAAGACATTTATTAAAAATCTTTTGATAAAGGAATTTTTTTGAGTAATTTTACTTAAATTGTTTTGTAAATAATTAAATTTTTTCAAGAAATTTTATTAAAATTTTTAAAAATAATTGAATTCTTTCAAGGAATTTTAATAGAATTATACATTGAAAATAATTGAATTTCTTGCGAAGAATTTTTTTAAAAGTTTTTTTAATAATGGAATTTTTTTGAGTAATTTTATTTAAATTGTTTTAAAAATATTCGAATTTCTGTAAAGAATTTTACTATTTTAGAAAATAATTGAATTTTTACTGAGAATTTTATTACAACCTTTGTAAATAAATAAATTCTTTCAACGATTTTTATTAAAATTTTTAAAAATAATTGATTTCTTTCAAGAAATTTTATTAAAATTGCATTGAAAATAATTGAATTCTTTAAAAGATTATTAAAATTTTTGATAATAATTGAATTTCTTGCGAAGAATTTTATTAAAAGTTTTTTTTAATAATGGAATTTATTTCAGTATTTTTATTTAAATTTTTTCAAAAAGAATTGAATTTCTGTAAAGAATTTAACTATTTTAGAAAATAATTTAATTTTCATGGAAAATGTTTATTAAAACTTTTGCAAATAATTAAATTCTTTCAACGAATTTGGTAAAAATTTTCGAAATTTCTGAAAATCGTAATTTAATTCTTTAGAAGAATTTTATTCAAATATTTTGAAAAAAATTCAATTTTTGTGAAAAATCTCATTAAGATGTTCTTGAATAATTCAATTTTTTCGAGAATTTTTATTTAAACTGTATTGAAAATAAATGAATTATTTATAAATTTCATTTAAATTTTACTGAAAATAATTGAAATCCTACAAAGAATTTTAATATTTTGAAAATAATTGAATATTTACAAAGAATTGTATTATTTTTGAAAAAAATTGAATTTTTACGGAGAATTTTATTAAAACTTTTGAAAATTTTGTAAATATTTAAATTCTTTTAACGAATTTGATTAAAATTGTATTGAAAATAATTGAATTCTTAAAATTTTTGAAAATAATGAAATTCTTGCGAGGAATTATAAAAAAAAATTCTCGAAATTAATTAAATCATTCGAGGAATTTATTTATTTCCGTGAAAAATCTTATTAAATTTTTTTTTCATAATTCAATTGTTTCGTAGAATTTTATTTGAAATTTTTGTATAATTGAATTCTTCGCAAGATATTTTATTAAAATTGTATTTAAAAAAATAGTTGAAGATTATTAAAATTTTTAAAAATAATTAAAATTCTTGCGAAGAATTTTATTAAAAGTTTTTTTAATAATGAAATTTTATGTTTTAAAAATAATTACATTTCTGTAAAGAATTTCACTATTTTAGAAAATAATTGAATTTTTACTGAGAATTTTATTACAACCTTTGTAAATAAATAAATTCTTTCAACGAATTTGGTAAAAAATTTCAAAATTTTTAAAAATTGTAATTTATTTCTTTAGAATAATTTTATTTAAATATCTTGAATAAAATTCAATTTTTGTAAAAAATCTTATTAAGATTTTCTTGAATAATTCAATTTTTTCGAGAATTTTTATTTAAACTGTATTAAAAATAATTGAATTATTTATATAATATGATTGAATTTTTTCAACAAATTTCATTCAAATTCGTACTAGAAGAACTTGAAGTCCTACAAAGGATTTTATTATTTTTTAAAATAATTGAATTTTTACATATAGAATTTTATTATTTTTTAAAATAATTAAATTTTTACGGGGAATTTTATTAATCTTTTTAAAATTAATTGAATTTTTAAGAAGATTATTAAAATTTTTGAAAATAATGAAATTCTTGCGAAGAATTATAAAAGAATTCTTGAAAATAATTAAATCATTCGCGGAATTTATTTAAAATTTTATTGTCATCAATTGACCTGTAATAAAAAATTTATTAAAATTACTAAAAATCCTAATTCGATTTTTTAGAAAAATATTTTAAATAGCTTTTGAAAAGAATTCAATTTCTGTGAAAAATATTATTAAATTTTTTTTTTTTTTAATAATTCAATCGTTTCGTAGAATTTTATTTGAAATTTTTGTGAATAATTGAATTCTTTGAAGAAATTTTATTAAAATTTAAAAGAAATTAATGAAGATTATTAACATTTTTAAAAATAATTGAATTTCTTGCGAAGAATTTTATTAAAAGTTTCTTTTAATAATGTGAATTTTTTGAGGAATTTTTTAAGAATTGTTTTAAAAATAATTACATTTCTGTAAAGAATTTCACTATTTTAGAAAATAATTGAATTCCTTCAAAGAATTTCACTATTTTAGAAAATAATTGAATTCTTCCGAAGAATTTTATTAAAATAGTTCAAATTAATTGAATTATTTTCAAAAATTTTATTAAAATTGTATTTCGAAGAAAATTAATTTATTTGCTAGTAAAAAAATAATTAAAAATTTATTTTCTTTATTCAATAGATTACGGTAGAGAAATTGATGCCAAGGAGCTTTCAGCAAAATTCATGACAGATCTCACTGGACTAATGTTTGGAATAAAGTGCAATAGTTTGAAGAATCCGGAGGCACAAATAAGAAAAATTGGAAGTGGAATGTTTGGAAATTACAGTATTAAAAGGGCATTTCAATTAACAATTATATTTCTTGCACCTCAATTTGCTGATATATTTGGATGTCGATTTATTTTGGAAAATGCGTATAAATTTTTTAAAAATCTCTTTGAAGATGTTATGGATGAGAGAAAAAATTCAGAATTGAAAGGAAATGATATTATTGATTTGGTTCTACAACTTCGCGAAAGTGACATTATCTCTCCAGATGGTTTTAGTAAGTGATTTGGAAAAAATTTGGAAAAACTGTAGTTTTGTCTTTTTTCTCTTGAAATTTATTGAAAAATTAATAATTAATTTCAAAATTTCTTTTGTAGAACTTGATGACGATAATTTAGCATCTCAGACAATAATGTTTTTTGCTGCTGGTTTTGAACCACCAGCGGTAGTCATGGGATATTGTTTATTCGAATTGGCTAAAAATCAGGATGTACAGATGAAATTGAGGAAACAAATTAATAGCGCACTTAAGGAAAATGAGAAAATTACATACGATATGGTAAATATTTTTCTGTAATTTATTTTCCTTTGAAGGAAAAAAATAATTAAAAATTTTATTTTATTAATAATTTAAAGGCATTTGTGAATCATTATATTACGTCACAGGTTTAGAGTACATTAATTCTTTCATTCGAAATAAAAAATTCAATTTTTAATTTGAATTGAATTTTAATTAAACTTATTGAATTAATAATTATTAATTTTTCTATTTTTTTTTTTAATTAAAATTTATTCGAAATTTTAAAAATATTTATTTCTAAAACTTCGAATCTCTTTTCCTGACTAATGTTTTTTTTCAACATAATATTTTTTTGTGGATATTTATATTTATACGTAAATTAATAATCTCTGTAGTTACAAAAGTAAAATTTTGCTGAATTATTTTCTTTCAGGTAAATGATTTGCAATATTTGGAAATGATTATTTCGGAGGTTTTGCGTATGTATCCTACAATGCCAATTATGGACAGAAAAGCAACAAGTGACTATAAAATTGAAGAAACCGGCCTGATGATAGAAAAAGGAACACCAATTTTGGTGCCATTGCTAGGACTTCACTATGATCCGCAATATTTTCCTGATCCCTATGCATTTAAACCTGAACGATTTGCAGACAATAAGATAAGAAATTGCTCTTATTATTTACCTTTTGGATTGGGAGCACGTGGTTGCATTGGTAAATTTTTTGCATTTTTGAATATAGAAATTAAAAAACTATTCTCAAACATGATAATCAAATTCTTTTAAAACGATTCAATTATTTTAAAAAAATATTCGAAATTCAATTATTTTTAATATCTAGTATTTTCATAAAATTTTACAAAAGAATTTAATAATAACATTTTATATGGAAATTCAATTTTTTAAAAAAAATTTTGATAAAATTCCAAGAAAGAATTCAATTATCTTCATAAATAATAAAACTTAATGAAGAATTTCAATTATTTTAAATACTATTTTTAATTAAATTAATCGAAAAATTCAATTATTTTCACAAATATAGTTTTCTACAAGAATTCAATTATTTAAAATAAAATTTTCATAATATTTGTTATATTTCGAAGAAATTAATTATTTAAAACAATGTTTATAAATTTCTTATAAAAAATTTAATTATTTTCAAAAATAATAAAATTTTTTACTGAAATTCAATTATTCTTTTTAAACATTTTAATAAAATTTTTCGCAATAATTCAATTATTTTCATAATTATAATAAAATTCATCGCAGGATTTGAATTATTTTCTAAAATTTTAATAAATATTTCAAAACAATTCAATTATTTTTATAAATAACCAAATTCTTCGCAAGAATTCAATTATTTTTATAAATAATAAAATTTTTCTAAAGAATGGAATTATTTTTAATACAATTTTAATAAAATTTCACTAAAGAATTCAATTATTTTGAAAAGTTTGTCAAAAGAATTAAATTATTTTCATAAATAATAAAATTCTTTGGCAAGAATTCAATTTTTCGCCGGAATTCAGTTTCTTACAGAAAATAATAAAATTTTTAGCAAAAATTCAATTTTTTTCAATGAATAAGGAAATTCTTTACAAGAATTCAGTTATTTTTATTAATTTTTATAATATTCTTCCGAAGAATTGAATTATTTTCATAAATAAAAAAATTCTAATCAAGAATTCAATTATTATTTTTATATAATATGTAAAAATAATATTTGAATTATTTTTATTTTATTCTTAGCAAGAATACAATTATTTTTAAAAATTGAAAGAAATTCTTTAAAAGAATTTAATTATTTACAAAAACTCTAAAAGAATTTTTTAAAAAAATTTAATTTTTCATAAATATTTGGAAAAAATTTAATTATTGTTAAAACCTTTAATAGTATCTATTCTTCTTAAGAATTCAATTATTTTCATAAATAATAAAATTCTTCGAAGGAATTTAATTATTTTCAATTTTTTTGATAAAATTCCTTGCAAGAATTGAATGATTTTCAATAAATTAGTTTTCAAATTGGAAACATTTTTAAAAAAATTATTATAATAGTTAGGAAGCAAAAAAGTAAATAACAACTATAATTTCAAACTGCGAACAAAGATTATTAATATATATAGATAATATAGATCATCAAAAATGATTAATTGAGATTTTTAATTTGCTAATTCAATATTTTTTTTCAGCCTCTCGACAAGGTCTTCTGCAAGTGAAACTTGGCATAATTTCCATTATCTCAAAATTTGAGGTGACATTGTTAAAGAAGACTTTTATAGAATTTGATAGATTTTCGGCACTCAGCTCGCCGAAAGGAGGTTTACCTTTGAAATTTCGTAAACTGGATCCAAATGATAATACTGTTTATTAATCATTTCACTGGGCTTTACCATTTTTTTTTTTTACTTTTGGTGAGATTTAATTCTTGAATTTATTAATTTATTTTCTGTTTTCTATTTATTGCTCATTTCTAATTTCTTTTATTTATAAATTTCTATTTCTAACAGAAAATCTATTTTATTTTTATTTATTTATTTTTATTAAATATAAAGTTATTTATTTTATATTTTATACTATTTTTATTCTATTTGTATTTTTATTAAATAAAAATACAAAATTATTTTATTAAATAATTTTTGTATTTTATTTTTCAGATGCAACAGTTTTGAGAAAAAGAAAAAAGTTAATTTTTTTAACAAATTTATTTATTTTACGACAGAATTGATAATTAACTGAATATTGATTACAATATTTTTAATAATTTCAATAATTGAAATTTAAAAAATTCAAATTTAAATAATTTAATAAAATAAAGTAAAACAAAGTAATGAATAATTTTGCAAAATACGAACTTAATTCTTTGTAGCAGTGACACTGACTTTTATATTACACTTCACATTATTGAAATTATATTTAAACTATAAGAAATTATAGTTTAATTTATAAAATTATAAATTAAATAATTAATTATAATTAATTTACTTTATTTTGCAAAGTATAATAAAATTATAAAAACACACCAGTCAAATGAGAACAAATTTAAAGAATAAAATTTTAAAAAAACAATTTTTAATATTGTATTGAAACATTAATTTATTTTATTTATTTATTTGTTTATTATTTATTTATTCATTTATTTATTTATATATTTATATATTTATTCACAGAAATATATTTTTTGTTCAAATAATTGTATTTTTTCAAAAATTACTCGCAGAAATTTTTTAAATAAAAGAGGTTTAAAATTTTTAATTTTAAATTTAAATTTAAAAAAGATTTATGAAATTAAAAAGAAAATAAAAAAAGAGATTTTTTATAATAAGAAATATTTTTTCGTACTTATTTACCTAAATGAAAAATTTAAAAACAAGTAATTGTCAAAACAATAAACGAAAAAAATGACAGTAAAAACAGTAAAAATGACACATTAACCACATTAACAAACTGTCAATAATAATTTTTTGGCCCTTTTCAAAATTAAATGTTAGATTTTTTTTCAAAATTTTTTCTAAATTTTCAAGTTATTTTTGATAATAAAACTTATTTGCTAACAAAAAAAAGAAAATTTCACTCATTATGAGTCAAACGAAAACAATAAATTCGAATTACGGTGAATTAATTTGTAACTTAAAATCTGCTGTCACTGCTTTAGAATGGTTAGTTTTTTGTAATAATAATATTTTTATATTTTTAATTATAATTGCAGTATTTAATTAACATAAAGGAGAAAAATATTATTCTTGATGATTTATTATTGCGTAATAATAATTAAATTGATTACCAGTTTGTGATTTACTTTTTTTTTTTTTTTACTTGAATTATTTATTTTGTATCGTATTTATAATTTCATAATAGAATCATTATTCATTAATAATTTATTAACCTTCTGTCATTATATTAATTTTATATATAAACACGTGCATTTAGTCAACACAAAATGGAAACGGAAAAAAAAGTAATATCGACAACAAAAAAAGAGGAACAAAAACCGCCCACTTATTTGTGTATTCCGATTAAGGAAGAAAAATCGAATTCTTCGAATCAGAATAAAGAGCTGAAGAATTTGAAGAGAATTGAAACTAAGGAAAAAGTGAAGAAAAAGAAGAAGGGTAAAAAAAATGTTGATGAAGAAGAGGTAAATTAAATTATGAAAATTTAATTGGTTATTAAATTAATTTATTTAAATTTCAAAATCAATTTATTTCTTTTTAATACAATTAATTAAATTTAATAAAACTTGTATTTTAATTGAGTTTAAATTTAAAAATGATTGTTAATTCTAGTTATTAATTAATTCTAATTATTCTCTAATTTTAGTTAATTTTCTTTTACAGGATTTGTGCAGTTTTATGAATCCAGAAATGCGAGGAGGAGTTTTATATACAAAATGCGATTGTCTTATTAGAAATGGCCTCCAAGATGATTGTCCTTTGACTCTTTGTCAGGGACAACCGGATTGTTTAATTAAACCCTGGCCATTATGTCCGCCTGGAAAGTACTATCGAAATCGACATCCGGAAATTTATCCTTCTCCAGGAAATTGAAATTCGGCTTTTCGTTCGACAACTTTTTCGAGTGATTTTAAGTATCAACTTCTTTAAATAAAATTAATTAATTAATTTATTTGCAAGCTTTGCACTCATCTAATAAAACCTACTATTTATTACTTTATTTACGTTATGCTACTACTTTTCATAATATTTATTATATTTCCCAAAAATTAATTATTTAAAACAATGTTTATAAAATTCTAATTTGAAGAATTAAATTATTTTCAAAAATAACAAAATTTTTCACTGAAATTCAATTCTTTTTAAACGTTTAATAAAATTTTTCACAAGAGTTAAATTATTATTTTTTTGAAATAATCAAATTTTTCGCCGGAATTAACTTACTTACAGAAAATAATCAAATTGTTCTAAGAAATTCAATAATTTTCACTAGTTAATGATATTTTTCCGAAATATCATAAATAAAATAAAAAAATTTTCATAAATAAAAAATTCTTGTCAAAAATTAAATTATTATTTTTATAATCAAATTTTTAGCAAGAATTCAATTAATTTTTTAACTATTCAATTATTTTTATAAGTAATAAAATTCATCTCAGGATTTCAATTATTTTTAATACAATTTTACAGGAATTGACTTGAAAATTGTAATTATTCTTAAAAATTTAATTTCAATTCCTCGAAAATAGCTACTTTTTTTACTCCTGTTTTTTAGTTTGAAAGCTACTTTTTTAAAATTAATTATCGAGTGCGAAGTCTGTATTTGTTAATTACATTAAATTACATATTAATAATTTAATCAGTAAAATTACAATTTTTTTACGATTATAATTTATAGAATTCTGCAATAGAAAATAATAGATTTTTTGTTTCTGTAATAGAGGAATTTTTATCGTTTGATAGAAAAAAATAATGTGGAAAAATATTTAAAAATTTATCTTCTTGGTTCAAAAAATATTCCTGAAACTTTTTTCCGAAACAAATAAAAATTTTTTAATTAATAAATAAATTTGAAACAAATAAAAATTTTTTAATTAATAAATAAATTTGATTAAATAATAAATTAATTTTATAAATTTCAATTTAATAAATGAAAAAGAGGAATTTTTAATCGTTTGGTAAAGAAACGTAGAAAAATATTTACAAACATCTTATTGGTTAGAAAAATTTCTGAAATTTTTTTCCGAAACGAATGAAAATTTTTTAATTAATAAATAAATTTACTGTTTAGTTAAAACAAGAAATATAAAATTGGCTGAGAGTAAAAAATGGTCAAAAATTTTTATTCGATTTTAAATTTAAATGTGAAAAGTTTTGATTTGGAATTCGTTTCCTTGGAAACGTTTTACAAACAAAAGAATCAGTTTTTTTTGGAACCAAACAAAAACAATACATTTTTTTTCGCAACTTTTCGAAAATTTAAATTAAAAATTAATGAATAAAAATTCCAAGTGATATTATCAAAATAAAAAAAAATATTTTATTTGTTCCTATTTTATAAATTAAAATTATGCCTTGTGATGGAAAAAATTCTAATTGTCAGAGGAGACGAGAGCTTTTGTCACAATTAAAATGTTTGATAAGTTCAATGGATAGAAAGTAGGTTAAAATTTAATTTTTTTTGAAGTTTATATATTTTGCATTTTACTTCTTCTTTTATTTTTCTAATTAAAATTTTATTTATTTATTATCTTCCAAATTTTAGATTGTATTTACTTTTTTATTTTCCAAATTGTAGAATTGCAGATAGTATTTATTTTTTATCTTCCAAATTGCAGATAGTATTTATTTTTTATCTTCCAAATTTTAAATTGTATTTATTTTTTATCTCCAAAATTGTGCAACTTTACTAATTGATATTTTTCTTTTTTACAGAAAGCCGTGCGAATGGGATGAGCCACCGTGTCCACCACCAACTCTTTGTCCAGTTCCGACACAAATGAATTCGCCAGCATGTTATGTAAGAAGCAAAATATTTTTCATACGTTGAATATTATTAAATAATTAAATTTACTTTTTAAATTATACAATTATTCAATTATTCAATTATTAAATTCTTAAATTCTTAAATTAATTTCGTAAATTATTAAGTGGATTATTGAATTTATTATTAAATTGTAAGTAATTAGAACAGTTAATATTAAAAATAATATATTAAAAAATATTTATTTTATTATATTGGATTCATATGTATGACCTTTCGGCCTTTTACATTTCCCGTACATAAATATTTTCTTCGAATCTTTAACATAAATAACTTAAATTAATTTAACACTAGATTTTAAACATTTAAATATCTTAAATTATAAACCGCTTTGTTTACATTTTGATAAATCTTCAAAGGCTCTTGCGTATCTGCAGAGAGCGAGGATCGGTTTGCCAGACATTGTTGACCAAATTTTTTGCAAGCTTAAATTTTTGCCGCAATCGGTCCACTTATCAACTTCTTCCACCCACTTTTTATCAATTAGCTCCCTAGCTTTTTTACACACCCAAATATGCTCTATGTTCTCTGTTTCTGATCCACAGAGTCTACAACTTACATCTGTGAAACCCTTATTCCCGGCCCTCCCTACATTGCCACATCTAATCCGAGCCCATTGTTCCTTGTCCTTGAAACTTAGTTCTTTAATTTCCCAGTAATTTTCTCTCCCTATTTTAGATTTCCATTTCCCATAATTTTTGCAATATGAAGACTTATCAATTTTATACCACTGTTGTTGAATGTCCTGATCCATTTTGACTTTTATATTTCTTTTTATATTTTCGGAAATCTCTCTCATATTTTCTTCTGGACCCAATAATTGAATTGTTCTGCCGTCTCCTACTTCGCTAAGAACTTTTTGGACTTTTGCTCCCCATGCTGATGGAAAATTGTTTTTAATGCCTCTTAGTTCCTCATTTAGGCATATTCTCGGAAGTCTGTTTTCTTCCATGTTTAAAATTTCTTTGAGATATTTAAATACCCTTCGTTTAGCTTCTACATCTAGACTAACTCTTCCAGATTCCATTTTCCAGATGTAATCTGGGGTGTTGATGTCCAGTCCCATCGCCATTTTCACAAATCTTCCTTGCGCTTTTTCCATTGTATCCCATTTTTCCCATCCCCAAATTTCAACTCCATATAAACCTCCCGATTTAGACAAAATATCCATAATATAAAGTCTTGTATTTAGTCCCCCTATTCTAGCTCTCGTTAAGACGCCCCAAGCAGCATTTGTTGCTTTTTGCATTTTACCTGCCATTTTTTTTACGTGCCTTCCATGAGATCCTTTTGTAGAGAACCAAAAGCCTAAATATTTGTATTCGTTGACAATTTCTAGTTTTTCTCCGAATATTTCCCATTTTTCCCCTTTCTTTAGTTTACCCCCTTTCCTAAACACTATGACCTTCGATTTTTTAATATTAACTTCTAATCCATTTTTTGTAACGTACCCTTCTAGTGATTTTAGCATTTGCCTCAACCCTTCTGGAAAATCTGCCAATAATACTAAATCGTCTGCGAACTTCAAAGAATAAATTTTAACTTTCCCTATGACCGTGCCACCCTCTTTCTTAATTTCCCAAATTTCATCCATGTCCTCTATAAAAATGTTAAACAATGTAGGACTAAGAGGACATCCTTGCCTTACTCCTCTATTTGTTTCAAATGAGTCCGTAAGTCCTTCTTCAGTCACTACTTCATTCGATGTTACTCTATATATTTCCATGATCATTTTGAGCATTTTTCCTTTTATTCCTAAGTTCGACAGCTTCCTAAAGAGAATTTCTCTATCGACTGTGTCGAAAGCTTTTTTAAAATCAATAAATGCGGCGTGTAGTTTACCTTTCTCCCTTTTTAAGTTATTTTTTATCAATGAATTTAGGACAAAAATATGATCTCTGGTTGACCTTTTTTTGCGAAACCCTGCTTGATTTTCTTTACACAATTTGTTTTTTTCTAACCAGTTTCTAATGCGCTCGTCTAAAAGTGAAGCTAAAATTTTGTAACCCGTATCCAGCAAAGATATACCCCTGTAGTTATTTGTGTCATTTTCGTCTCCATCCTTATAGATAGCTATAATTCTCGCTTTTTCCCAACCTTTTCCTAATTTACCTTGATTCCAAAAACCGTTTATTATTTTATGTAACTCTAAAGCCCATACTCTAGGAATTCCTATTATGAACTCTATTGGTACCCCATCTTCTCCAGGAGCTGTCCCTTTTTTCATTCTCATGATACATTTAGCTAATTCATCGAAAGATATATCTGCATTTAAGTCGTTGTCATCCTCGTCATTGTCTGTTTCTATGCTTGAACCTACTTCTCTATTTTCTGAATTATTATTCCCTGTTGCATTTTCCCTAGTTGTTTCATTTATATTTTCATTATTCCCATTTAATAATCCCTGAAAATGATGCAACCATCTTTCTTTTTTTACTGCCATCCCTCTTTTCTTTTTCTTTCGCGGTCTAAAATCCCCTATCGCTTTCCAGAAACTATTCATGCTTTTGCTTTCTTTTACTTTATTCCATTTTTCCTCTTTTATTTCTTTTTCTTTTGAATCGCATAATTTTTTCAGTTTTCTTTTTTCCCTTTTTAATTTTAATCTACTTTCGTCATCTCTTTTTTTACGAAATTCTTTTAAACTTTTCCATACTTTCGATCTCTGTTCTACGCAATCCTTATCGAAACCTGTTTTTACTGTAAAATTTCCATTACTTTCCTTTCTTATAAGCCCTACTAATTCCGCAGCTTTCCATATGCTTTGTTTAAAATTATTCCATCTATCTTCCCAGATTTCGCTTTTTTCCCCCTCGTCCCATAAGTTCTCCATTTCCCTTCTATATTCTTCTTCTTTTTCTTTTTCCCACTTGAGAATGTTTCTCCTTTGTTTCCTAACCCTATCCTTCTGGTCTACTGTAACTAATTTACCCTCTAATTCTAAGTTAAAGCAAATTGGAAAGTGGTCCGATTCAATTCTAGGTTCAACTTCCAATTTCTTTACTGGACATTCATCACTGTTTTCCATTACTATTATATAGTCCAAAACCGATCCCCCCTCTCCACAGATACACGTCCAATTTCCTTCTGTATCTCCTTCTATTCTACCATTCAAAATTCTTAAACCTTGTTCTTCACAAATTTCCAAAAGTTTTTTGCCTTCAGCATTAAGAACCTTATCCTTAGATTTCCGATCTCTAGTGTACCCCCTGTAAGGATCTAGTCTATCCCATTCACATCCTCCCAATTCCTCCCCCGTTCTCGCATTCCAATCTCCTACAATGATTAATTCTTCCCCTTCACGTCGAGATTTTTCTATACATTTAATTAGTTCTTCTTTTAATTTAGATATACCAACATTGTTATAAGTAGAAATAATACGCACCTTCTTTCCGTTTGCTTTCCACCCCCCATACAATATCAAACCAAATTCCCATTCCTCAAATTTCACTTTATCACTCACCTCTTTTTTTACTCCAATTAATATCCCCCCTTTAGCTCTACCTTTTTTACACTGTCTAGTTGCTGATTTAGTCGACCAATAAAAATCTTTACTTAACTTATTCTTAAAGTCCGCTACGTTTTTCTCCTCCAACCAAGTTTCTTGAAAAATAACGAGATCGAAATTTTCCCAAAAGTTCTTCGAATCCAACACGTTTTTAGTTCCAGCAATATTCCAAGAAATAACTTTGATAATCCTTTCTTCTTCATTACCTCGATTGACGAAACCACTTGTCTTCGGTTATTCCTTCTTCTTCATTCCAGCGAAAATTGCGATTCCCCACTGTCCACCTCATATACCGGTACCTGGCTTCAAATCCTTGATTTTGTACTTTTTTAACCTCTTGCCTTATCCATTTCTTGATTTCCTCCTCTCTAGGCGTTAAATCGTCTTGTATCCAGATGTCCGTTCCATGTAATTTACCTTTGTTTCTCAAAAGATACTTTTTTTCTTCCAAAGAGTACAATTTTACTAGAATTCCCCCTTCAATAACCCTCACTTGTTTTATCGTAATTTGAACACCGGTTAGTCCCCTTAAGACTTCCTGAATTTCGTTTTTCATATGTGGCCCTCGTACAACACTGAATCCCGTCACTTTTATCCAACATCTTCTTTTTCTTCTTTCTTTGAATTGCCATTCTAATTCATTTTTTTGCAAGAGTTCGGGTATTTTTGCTCGATTATCCTCGCTTGTTAGATTTATTTCTTCCTCATTTTTGTTTTGAGTATCATCGCTGTTTTCCATTCTCAATTGAGTGTTGTCTCCTTCTTCCTGGCTTTGGTTTCTCGGATATTGGTTAAATTCGCTTAAATTTCTTCCGGGCGTTCGCTTCTTTTTTCTAGCTCCATTCTCTAAATTTTGAATTGATGAATTTAATTTTTGAACTTCCTCTTTGAGTCGATTGATTTCAGCCTTCAATTTAATTTCTCTTTCTCTTGCTTTCCTTACAGCTGTTAATGCTGCTTCCTCTCTCGTGATCCTTTCTTCTTCAGCTTCTTGCGAGACCGCATCTTTATCTGCACGTTTGAGTAACTCTGTCAATTCTTTTGTTTTTTTGTCCCACCATGTATCCAAAATTTTTTCTAACTCATCTTCCTCAATAACACACACTTCCTCTTCAATATTAGAGTTCTGATCTAGCAATTTATTTATCGTTTCACTTCTTGATTTTTCTGTGTCTTTTTCTGATTGTTTAGATGCATTTCCACCACTATTTACAAACTCACTTTTCCCTGTTATTTCGGACATTTTTTCATCCCATTTCTTATTAAAATACTTATCTAAATTTTTAACACCCTTGTTGTTTTTCCTTTTCGCAAGTTCCGCCTTGGAAGGTCGTCCTCTTTTTTTTTTTATTATTACTCCTTTTGTACTCCCCCTTTTCGTTGACTCCAAAACTGCGCCACGCGGAGAATCTACTTTATCTTCCGTAGATCGGCTTGTGGGGATTGGCCAATAGATCTCGCATCTACGCCAATTTCCCATATAGATCTCTCACAAGTGCAATACGGGCTAGTCTTGTAGCATATATACAAGTTCCGAATTTGCTTCCCCCGTCTAGGGCAGGTCTCCCACTACGTAGCCTTACTGATGAGTCCAAGTAGTGGGGACCGGGACGAAACGATATAAAGTGGTCTTCATACCACTCTATGGATGATATACTTTTAAATCTCCATATTGGTGACCGCCGACGGGCCGCTTCGTGTTGCAATTTTCTGCGACGGTGTTAACGAAGAGCTCGAGTTTTCGGGGTCGCTCACAACGCTCCTTTCGTACCTTTCCTCGCACTTGCCACGAAGCGGTGAGCACTAGAAAACAGATGCCTTCGCTGTCTCTCGCTCGCAACGCGCTCCGTCTATCTCTTTCCAAAAACCTTCTGATCTGCACATTGTGCACGCAAAGTCTTCTTTCCACTCGTACATAGTACTTGAGTTTCCTGAAGCTTTCCCTTCGTTCCTATTCCTTTAACCAATCGTATCATCTACTTCGATGATACTAGGGGGGGAGTATGTGGGGATTGGCCAATAGATCTCGCATCTACGCCAATTTCCCATATAGATCTCTCACAAGTGCAATACGGGCTAGTCTTGTAGCATATATACAAGTTCCGAATTTGCTTCCCCCGTCTAGGGCAGGTCTCCCACTACGTAGCCTTACTGATGAGTCCAAGTAGTGGGGACCGGGACGAAACGATATAAAGTGGTCTTCATACCACTCTATGGATGATATACTTTTTAAATCTCCATATTGGTGACCGCCGACGGGCCGCTTCGTGTTGCAATTTTCTGCGACGGTGTTAACGAAGAGCTCGAGTTTTCGGGGTCGCTCACAACGCTCCTTTCGTACCTTTCCTCGCACTTGCCACGAAGCGGTGAGCACTAGAAAACAGATGCCTTCGCTGTCTCTCGCTCGCAACGCGCTCCGTCTATCTCTTTCCAAAAACCTTCTGATCTGCACATTGTGCACGCAAAGTCTTCTTTCCACTCGTACATAGTACTTGAGTTTCCTGAAGCTTTCCCTTCGTTCCTATTCCTTTAACCAATCGTATCATCTACTTCGATGATACTAGGGGGGGAGTATGTGGGGATTGGCCAATAGATCTCGCATCTACGCCAATTTCCCATATAGATCTCTCACAAGTGCAATACGGGCTAGTCTTGTAGCATATATACAAGTTCCGAATTTGCTTCCCCCGTCTAGGGCAGGTCTCCCACTACGTAGCCTTACTGATGAGTCCAAGTAGTGGGGACCGGGACGAAACGATATAAAGTGGTCTTCATACCACTCTATGGATGATATACTTTTAAATCTCCATAGGCTTCTATTAAATGGCGTCATCTGTTGGGACTCTCTTGAATTATCTTCGTCTTCCATGTTCGCTGAACTTGCTATCGACATAACCTCAACTATCTCCAGCTCCACTTTTTAATAATCAAATTTTTCATCATTCATTCAATCCCCCACTTTACAAACATTTCCTTGAACAACTCACACCTCACTTTAATAACTGCAATAAAAATCGCAAGTCCACTAACCCTTTAAACCAAAAAGAAACAACTTTTTCAGCCCGCGGTTACCCGACACGTATTGCTCGCGTAAAGTCTCAACCGGACATATATTAAAAAATATTAAAAACTAATAATAATTTTAATTTAATTTTAATTTAAGAACAGATGTTACTTTTTATGGATTGCAAAAAAAGTTAATTCAATTAAGCGTTAGAAGCAATTAATTATGAAAAATAGTCTCTTAGATTAATTTAAAAAACGTGTCAAATGTAAATACTTGACTGAAAAAATAGTGAGTGATCGATTAGTGGAAAAAATTAATTTGTAATCAAAGAAATGAAAAATAGATTGAGTCTGATTTTGATGTCACTTTTCTTACAATTGTATTTTTGAAACATTTTTTTTTCTGAGATAATAATCTTTCAATGAAGTTACATAAACGATTTAAAAAAATGTATTTGTGATCTTTTAGTAAACTTTACAAAGCCGTCATCAATCTACATTTTCTATTACTAATTTATACGTCTTCGAAGATTTTCTTTTTGAAATAACTTTTAATTTTATATTTTATTTTAATCAATAATTATTGGTCATTATTGATTATTAGTCATTGTTATTATTTTGCAAATTAAAATATGTAGTTTATATTTTCAAAAAATATAAACATCAATTTTTGAATAATTCAATTTCAATTATTTTCATAAATAATAAAATGTTTTGGAAAAATTCAATTATTTTCATAAATAATAAAATGTTTTGGAAAAATTCAATTATTTTCATAAATAACAAAATTCTTGGTAAGAATTCAATTATTTTTTTAAAATAATGAAATTTCTTACCAAAGTTCAGTTACTTACAGAAAATAAATAAATATTCTTCCGAAGAATTAAATTATTTTTATAAATAAAAAGATTCTTGTCAAGAATTCAATTATTTTTATAAATTAATAAAATTCTTAGCAAGAATTCAATTATTTTTAAACATTTTTCGAAGGAATTCAATCATTTTCATAAATATAAAAATTTTTCGGAAAAATTCAATTATTTTCATAAATAATGAAATTTTTGGGAAAAATTCAATTATTTTTTTTAAACAATCAAATTTTTCGCCGAAATTCAATTATTTCTTTGAAATAATCAAATTTTTGTCGTAATTCAATTACTTTGAGAAAAATAATAAAATTCTTTGTACAAATTCGATTATTTTCAACAAAAATTTAAAAATTCAATTATTTTCAAAAATTTTAATAAAATATGCAAAATTTCAATTATTTTCATAAATAATTAAATTCTTCGCAAGGATTCAATTATTTTTATAAATAGTAAAATTCTTCACAGGAATTCAATTATTTTCAATCTAATTTTTAAAAAAATTTCTTAAACAGGTTTAATTATTTTTAAAAATTGTAATAAAATTTTTCGATAAAATTAAATTATTCTCAAAAGTTTTGATAAAACTCTTTGTAAATTTCAATTATTTTCAAAAAAAAAAAAAATTTTTTTTGCGAGAATTCAATTTTTACATTTTTTGATAAATACTTCGCAGGTATTCAATGTATTTTCAAACAAATTTTAATAAAATTTCACGAAAGGATTCAATTATTTTTAAAAAATTAAATTATTTTCATAAATAATAAAATTCTTTGCAAGATTTCAGTTATTTTCTCATAAATTTTAATAATATTCTTCCGAAAAATTAAATTGTTTTCATAAATAAAAAAATTCTTGTCAAGAATTCAATTATTATCAAAAATTTTAGTACAAATCTTCAAAACAATTCAATTATTTTTATTGAAATAAAATTCTTAGCTAGAATTCGATTATTTTCAAAAATGTTAATAAAAATTTCGTTAGAAAAATTCAATTATTTGAAAAAAATATTTTATTAATTTTCTTCGAAGAAATTTATTTATTTTCAGAAATTATAAAATTCTTCTCAGGAATTCAATTATTTTAAATCTGATTTTAATATAATTTCTCTAACCGATTCAATTATTTTTTTTTCTTTTTATTTATTATTATTTTTTTTCCGTAAATATTGTAGTTTTTCGGAAGAATTAAATTATTTTCATAAATAACAACATTCTTGTCAAAAATTCAATTATTATTTATCTAAATAATAAATTTCTTAGCAAGAATTTAATTAATTTAAAAAATTGTGGTAAAATCCTTTAAAAGAATTCGTTTATTTTTACATTTTTTTGATAAATACTTCGCAAAAATTCATTGATTTTCGATACTTTAATTAAAAAAAATTTTTAAATTTAAAAAGAAAATTAAAATAAAAAAATTAAGAATGGTTACAATTAAAAATAAAAAATTATTAAAAATGTTAGGAAACAAAAAAGCAAACAACAATTAACTAACTTCAAACTACGAACAGTTTACAGGAATACAACGATTGTTAATATAGATTAGTCATTAATTATTATTAATACGAATTAATATTAATCGTTACTAATTATTAAAAATTTATTTAAACAGATTCCAGCGAAGCCCTGCAACAGTTGTGAATTGAGAAGCAGCATAATGTGGCGATGCGATTGCATAAAACGAAATGGACTGCAAGACAGTTGCATGCTGGTCGATTGTCTGGGACGACCGGAATGTATGACGAAACTCTTTCCGATTTGTGGACCAGGAAAGAAAGCTCTACTCAAATTAACCGATCTTGGAGACGCGGAAGTGGCTTTGAAAAAATTCTACTCCGCCGACAGAGCAAGAGAGTCGGCTCTGGCTGCTTATTGTCGATTGAAGTGTTCAAATCCAGGACCGACAAACAATTGTCCTCAATCTTCGAATTGTTCTTCACAAAATTCACAACCTAATTGCCCTTCATTAAATTCACCTCCCAACTGTCCTTCACTAAATTCTCCTCCCAATTGTCCTTCATCCAATCCTGCGGCTCGTAATTTTGCGCCCAATTTTCCAACTTCGAATTGTCCTTTTGCTAATTCTTCACCTCCTAATTGGCCTTTATCCAATTCTCCGTCTCCTAATTTTCCTTCAGCTGGTTCTCCGTATTCAAATTGTCCATCTTTCAATCCTCCTGCTCCAAAATGTCCTTCTTCCAACTGTCCTTCTTTTAATTCCCCACCTCGTAATTATCCTCCAGCTTCTTATTCACAATCTAATAATTGTCCTCCGCCTTATAATAATTCATCGTCCTCTAATTATCGGGTCGCGTCCTGGCCACCTCCAAATTCTTCCTTTCAGCCTCTGGCCCCCAGACTGCAAATGCAATCTTGTCCTCAACAACAATCTCAAAATCAAAATTTCTTCGCTAGTCCTCCACCTTGTGCAACCTGTATGTCTCATTAATCCAAAATCAACATCTTGTTTATTAAAATTTATTATTTTTTTTTCTCAGTTTCGTGACAAATCGAATCAGAACATTAATTTAATGGTTGTTAAATTTATTAAGTGCTAAGTTGATTGTTAATTTTGAAACAATTAAATTTATTGTTAATCATCAATTTAATTTAAAAATTGTTAATTATCAATTTAATTTAGCAATATGTAGTTATTTGTCAATTTATTTAATAATTATTAAGTTAATTGTCAGTTAATTTAATAATTGTTAAATCAATTGTCAGTTTATTTAATAATTCTCAACTTATTTGTCAGATCATTTAATAATTGTTAAATTAATTTTCAGTTTGTTTATTTATTAAGTTAATTGTCAATTTATTTAATAACTGTTAAGTTATTTGACAATTTATTTAATAATTATTAAATTAATTGTCAGTTCATTTGATGATTGTTAAGTTTAATAGTCAATTTATTTAATAATTGTTAAGTCAATTGCCAATTAATTTCAAATTTTCAATACTCGTTACATTAAGTCTATGATAAAAATTGTTAATTAATTCGAGAATTGTTAAATAAATTGAAGTATTTATTAAATTGATAAATTTTAGTAAACAAGATAATTCGCCAGTCCATTAAAATAATTATTTCTTTTGGTTTAATTTTGATGCAACTTTGTTAGCATAAATAAATGTAAAAAAATTGAAATATACTTGCAATTAAGTAAAAAAAAAAAAATGAAAGTGTACCTGAAATTTGTAATTGATTTTTAAAAAAATGTACTTATTTGACAGTTTATTTATTGTTAGTATTTATTAATTAATTTATTTTTGGCATTAATTAATTAATAATTTATTATAATAAACAATATTCAATTATTCAATTATTTTTTTTAATAGTAAAATCTCTGCAAAAATTCAATTATTTTCGAAAATTTTAATAAGTCGTTCGAAACCATTCAATTATTTTTTTCTAATACTAAAATTTTTGAAAAAATTTAAAAATTCGATTATTTTCTAAAATTTTAATAAATCTATCGAAACAATTCAATTATTTTTTTAAAATAGTAAAATCTTTGCAGAAATTCAATTAATTTCAATAAAAATTCTCTAAAGAATTCAATTTTTTTCTAAAATTTTAATAAATTCTTTGAAAGTTTGAAACAATTCAAATACTTTTATAAATAGAAAAATTTCACTACAGAATTCAATTATTTTCCAAAATTTTAATGAATCCTTCGAAACCATTCAATTATTTTTTTTAATAGTAAAATCTTTGCAAAAATTCAATTATTTTCTAAAATTTTAATAAATCCTTCGAAACAATTTAATTATTTTTTAAAAATAGTAAAATCTTTGCAGAAATTCAATTAGTTTCAATAAAAATTCACTAAAATCAATTTTTTTCTAAAATTTTAATAAATTCCTTGAAGACTATTAAAATTTTTTAAAATAATTCAATTGAATTTCTCACGAAGAATTAAAAAAATTTTTTTTTACTAATGGTATTTTTTGAGGAATTTTATTTAAATTGTTTAAAAAATAATTAAATTTCTGTAAAGAATTTAATAAGTTAAAACTTTTTGCAAAAATTTCAATTATTTTCTAAAATTTTAATAAATCCTTCGAAACAATTCAATTATTTTTTAAAAATATTAATAAAATCTTTGCTGAAATCCAATTAATTTCAATAAAAATTCACTAAAGAATTCAAATTTTTTCTAAAACTTTAATAAATTCTTTGAAACAATTCAATTATCTTTATAAATATAGTAAAATTCTATTATTTTCAAAATTTTCAATTAAAATTATTAAAAAAAACTACATTATTTCTCAAAGAAACTTATTAAATTCTTGAAAAGAATTCCATTTATTTTCAAAAACTCTAAAAAAATCCTTTAAAAGAGTTTAATTTTCTATCAATAATTTTAATAAAATTTTAATAGTAAAATAATTAATTACAATGATTAGCAAAACGATTATATTCAATAAATTAAAGAAATTTTTTGAAAGAATTCAATTATTGTCAAAAACAAAATCAAAGAAATTCTTCAAGAGAATTTAATTAGGATTTTTTAAAATTTTAATAAAATTATTTGCGAGAATTCAATTATTTTCATAATTATTTCCTAAAATTTTAATAATATAAATTCTTTGGAACAGTTAAATTATTTTTATAAATAAGTAAAATTCTTCGGAAAAATGGTTAGAAATTTTTCTTCCCAAAAAAAAACAAAACAAAACACTCTAAATTTCAGTCAATTTCAGTCAATTTCAGTTTTCACTAATTTTTCGGTCCAACCATAACGCAAAATTTTCAAGTAAATGAAATATAAAAAAAAATTATTATTTTAAATTGAGTAATTATAGTAAATTAAAAAAAATCGTAATTACGTATTAAAATTAATATTTTCGAAAATTATTGAATATACAAAACTGTGGTGAAAATAACAATGTCGAATTTTTCAACAAAAGCAACAGCGGGATCTTTCGGTTCCTTTCCATCGAATTGCCAAGTGTCAAAGCCATCTTATCCTGTGTTGGTATCCTCTCCAGAAATTTCTGTTTGTCGATTAACAATTTGCACTCCTCCTGTGTCGATCGGACCATCTCCTCGATCATTTTCCACGATTTCTCCTGATAAAATTACAATTTGCACTCGACCTCTGGCAATTGGACATTTTCCACCAAAGTGCCACCCGCCAACTCCTCAAAAGAATCCTTGCGCTTGTCTCACGAAAATATCGAATCAATCTCTCAACAGAATTCCCTTTTTCGATAATAATTGAGGAAAAATGTTCGCTCGACACAGGTTTCTTTTCTTTTCTATTTATTGTGAAAAAATTAATCTCTATTTTTTATTTCAAAAATTAATTATATTAATTTCGAAAAATATTTTAAAAAATCGGACAATTTTTTATATAGTTTCAAAAATTAATTATATTTATTTTACAAATTAATAAAAATAATCGGATGATTTTTTATAATTGTTTTTCAAACTAGTATAAAAAATCTGACGTTTTTTTATACTGATTTCAAAAATTAATAAAAAAAATCGGATGGTTTTTCATATTATTTTCAAAAATTAATATAAAAAATCTGACTGTTTTTTATATTAATTTCAAAAATTAATAAAAATATCTGACAGTTTTTTATATTGATTTTAAAAATTAATATAAAAAATCGTCCAGTTTTTTATATTAATTTAAAAAATTAATATAAAAAAATCTGACGGTTTTTTTATGTTGATTTCGGAAATTAGTTCTTTGTCGGAACAAAAAATATAAACAATAAATAAATACAAAAATTTCTCGACTAATTGTACTCATTTTTTCGAATGTGAAATTTTTCTTTTTACTAATCTAGTAATTTTTTTTACAGGTGCATCGTTACATTGCCGTCAAGATCGGGACATTCGGGAAACATTCCTCCGAGATTACTTTGCAGTGATAATTGTTGTCACAAACGGAAGCAACCTTACTGCCGATATCTTTGCTGTCGTCTGCCGTGCAAGGCCGACTGTTTTCAAGTTTAAAAATTCGGAAATTAATTTCTACTTAACGTAGGTAATCAAATTCATTCGACTATTTAAAAATAGAGCAAAAATAGTATTTTTTTTCTAAGAAGAAAGACCGAATTTCAAACTTTCGCTATTTAAATTGTTGTTAAGGTTCGACAATTTTTTTTCTCACATTATTAGAATCTATATTTGTTATTAAATTTTTTATTTTTAATATTTTCATTCAAATTATTATTTTTTTATTTTATTATTATTATTATTCTGTTTCTTAATTTTAAATTCTTATTATTAAAATTAAAAAAACAATTATTTTCGACAATTTTCGAAATTTTATTGTTTACTTAAAACTTTACAAAATCCATACACAACTAATTTTTTAGAATCACGAGAAAAAGTTTACAAAAAATTCGACAATAAAAATAAATAAAAAAAAAATGGAAAAATTTGGAATTTTAAAGTAAACAGTAACTAAATTTAAGTCAATCAAAATTGATAGTACGGATTTGTAATTGAAAACCTTCGCCTTATTCTTAAATAAATTAATAATTAATTAATTAATTAGTTCTTGAATAAATAAACAAATAACAAATACATATAATGTACAAAAATATAATATTAAAAACACAATTTTTTTCTTAAATTAAAAAAAAAAATAGTATTAGTGATTTTTTTATAAACTAAGAAGGCATGAATTTGTACAAGTCTGTTCCTTTTTTGATAAGATGACCTTTCTCATTGAGCTTGTCAATGAATTCTCTCATGTCGTCGATTGATATTCCTCCATTTTCCAAGATTTCGCATAATTCACTAAATGTAAAAAGCTGCTTTTCCGATCTTCTCTCTTGTTTCAATAGATTTAAGAATGCTTTAATCTAAAAAAAATTCACATATTAACTAATGAATATTCTAATTTAATGTTTTTAAACATTTTCATGAAATTCTTCGCGAAAATTACCAAAAAATTTTCTCGCATAAATTCAAATATTATCACAAATTTTAATAGAATTCTTCGAAAGAATTTAATAATTTTTAAAAAATTTTAATGTAATTCTTCTGGAAAATTTAATTAATTTGCAAAAATTGTAATAAAATTTCTTGAAACAATTCAATTATTTTCATAAATAATAAGTCATTAAAATAATTCAATTATTTTCAATATAATTTTAATTAAACTCCTCGAATGAAATTTCATTATTTTTCAAGATTTTAATAAAAATTTATTATTTTGAAAAATTGTATTATTTATGAAAATAATTCAATTCTTATAAAAAATTTTAGTAAATAGCTATACGAAACAATTCAATTATTTTCATAAATAATCCTACAATTTTTCAAAATAATAAATTTCTATTCAAATCTTGAAAAATAATGATATTTCATTAGAAAAACTTAATTATTTTTAAAAATTTAATTAATATTCTTCGACGAAATTTATTTATTTTCATAAATATAATAACATTCTTTAAAATTTAATACAATTTTTTCAGAGCAATTTTAATTCAATTCTTCAAATGAATTTAGTTATTTTTTTTTTTAAATTTCAACAAAATTCCTCAAAAGAATTCAATTATTAAGAAAAAAAAAAAAAATTCTACAAAGAATTAATTAATTTTTAAAAATTGTATCTAATAAAATTTCTTGAAACAATTCAATATTATTTTCATAAATAATACAATTTTTCGAAATAATTATTTTCAATAAAATTTTAAATAAATTCCTCAAATGAATTTAATTAATTATTTTTAAACATTTTAACAAAATTCATTCAAAAACTTTGAAATAATTTGAAAAATTATAATAAAATTTATCGACAGAATTCAATTATTATCAAAAAATTTAATAGAAATCTTCGAAAGAATTCAATTATTCTTATAAATAATAAAATTCTACAAAGAATTCAGTTATTCTTACAAAGTTTATATTAAAATTCTTCGAAAGAATTCAATTATTTTTATAAATAATAAATTTTTTTTTGTAGGAATTAAATTATTTTACGAAAATTTTAATAAAAATCTTTGATTTTTTTTAAGTTCCTGAAATTAGCGTGAACGTTCAGTGTCGAAAATTATTATGCGGGGTTTTCGGATATAAAAATGTCATTAATTTTATTTAAATTATTAATAATTTACCTTATTTTTCGTAATTTTGCCGCCACCTGAAAGATTACCCTGGAAAAATGGACTCACATCTTCGGGTATGTTGTTTATCGTTTCTTTCATAATTTCCACAACTTCCAATGCATCGAATTCACTTGCAGTTTCTCTTAAATCAACCTTTGCCCGAGCCTTGAAAAAAAATTATTAATATTAATAGAAAAAAATTAATGACTACAAAATTATTTTTTTCAAAATTATACTTATTAAAATAATAACTAAATAATAATAAATTAATAATTATTAATTAAATTATCAAAATTATATTTTACCAAAGTCAGTCGAATTAATCCTTCGAGTGTGCGAAAAAAAATGGGAATATTTCCAATTTTTCCCTGACGTTCTCTCATACTTAGATAAAATTCTTCCAAGACATTTTCTGCTTCAGTTGTCAATCGTGGCCTCACATATTGTCGTGCGTACGCAATATATTTTCGTAAAATTCCTTGCGGTATTAATTTCGAATTATGTTTTATAAAATGTACTAATTCTTCTCTAAAAAAAGTTTTGAATATAATGTTAAAATTTCTAATAATTTAGAAACAAAAAAGGCTCGGTAAACAATGTATGCTTTCTGTTTAAAGAAAAACAAATAAAAATACTAAAATTTGAATTTTGAGAAAAATGGATTAAAAGGCAGCACTCGTAAATTTGAAAATAATAGAGAAACAGATAAATTTCTTACTTAAGAGAATCATCTTTAGATGATAATTTTCTATGATCCGATGGCGATGGTTCATTAAAACTTCTTTCTCTTTTATTTTGTGCCATATGTTGAATAATGTGTGCATCGCGATCCTATTTTTTGAGAAATTGATTTAATTATTATAATTAGTTTCTTTGTAGTTTAATAATAAAATTAATTAATTATTTTACCTTATCAGGATTGTCAAGAAGAAGATAGACTAGATCAAATCTAGATAACAGCGGTTGACTGAGATTTAAATTCTCTCGAATTGTTTTAGATTTATTGTAATGTCCTCCAATTGGATTGGCCGCAGCGAGAATTGAAGTTCTTGCCGGAAGGGACCAAATGACACCAGATTTCGCCACACTCACACATTGCTGTTCCATTGCTTCCAATAGAGCCTATTTTTCAAAAAGGAAAGAAAGAAATTATTTTTCAAAACGAGGAGAATTGTTATTTGCAGTAAGTAAAACAGTAAATTTTTATTTAGTAATTCTTCGATTTTACAAATAATAAATTTTATAAATAATAATTTTTTAAATAATAAAATTTATCAATATAAATAATAATTTTACAATTTATTAATATAAATTTATAATATGGTGAATTTAATATCTAGAAAAGTTATATAAATTTTACCTGATGTTGATTCGTCATTTTGTCGAATTCGTCAATAACACAGCATCCTCTGTTTGCTAGGACCAAAGCTCCAGGTTCGAGAATGTAGTCATTTGTTCCTGGCTCCTTTATCAACGTAACTGTCAAACCCGACGCTGTACTTCCGTTTCCGCAGATATAAACACCTGGAAATTCGTAAGTAGTAATTGAGAATTAAATTTTAACAACTTTTTCTATGCGCAAATTTAATTATTTACATTAAATTTAAATTAATGAATTTTAAATTTAAATAAATTTTAAGTTTAGTGAATTTAAATTATTTTAAATTTTAAATTCGTTTTTGACTATTGAACACAGTACTGCACTTATTATTAAGCAACATAGAAAATTTTTTATTTTTAAATATCAAATTTCATTTTTTAATTATTTTAAATTCAAAATTGAAAAAATTCACGGGTAACTAATTAATTCTAGGTACTTTAATTTTTTTTAAATTATAATGAAATTCTTCGCAAAAATTCAAATATTTAAAAAAATAATAAAAATTTTTCAAAGGTATTCAATTTTATTATCGACACAATTTAAATAATGAAAAAATTGAATTATTTTTAAAGATTTAAATAAAATTCCTCGCAGGAATACAATTATTATTTTCACTAATTTTAATAGAATTTTTCGAAAGAATTAAACATTTTTTAAAAATAATTTTAATAAAATTTTTCTACAAATTCAATTCATTCATTCATTGCAAAAATAATTCAATTCTTCAAATGAATTTAATTAGTTTTACAAATTTTAATAACATTCCCCCAAACAATTTAAATAATTTCGAAAATTGTAATAAAATTTATAGATAGAATTTAATTTTTTTTAGAAGATACAAAATTCTTAGCAGGAATTATATTATACATTTCAAAAATGTTAGTATAAATCTTTGATACAATTTAATTATTTTTATAAAAATAAAATTCTTCGAAAAGATTGAATCATTTTCAATAAAATTTTAATTCAATTCCTCGAATAAATTTGATTATATTTAGAAATTTTAATGAAAATCTTTCTAAAAAATCCAAGTATGTATTTTGAAAATTTATAAAAAAAAATATTGGAAGAATTTAATTATTTTCGTACAAAATATAAAATTCTTTGCAGGAATTCAATTATTATCAAAAATTATAGTAAAATAGCTTCGAGACAATTAAATTATTTTCAAAAACAATAAAATTCTTTGCAGGAATTGAATCCTACTTTTAAAAATTTCAACAAAATTTCTCAATTAATTAATTAATTTAATTTCAATTATTCTTATGTGAATAATAATATAATTCTATACAAAGAATTCAGTTAATTTCAAAAAAATTTAATAAAATACTTCTAAACAATTCAATTATTATTTTCACAATTTCTTTCTAGGAATTCGATTATTTTTCAAAAATCTCAATAAAAATCTTAGAAAAAATTTAATTAATGTCCATCAAAAATTTTAATAAAATTCAATGCAAGAATAAAATTATTTTTCACTCAAAATTATAAGTCACAAAAATAACATTTTTTAAGAACAGTTTTATTTTTTAAAATTAAAAAATATTATCTTTTTAATGCAAAATTATGCAAATAAAATAATTCTGAAATTTTTTGCTTGTACAGACAAATTTTTTGCATCACGAAAATTTGTTTTTCTACAATAATTCGAAAGTACTTAACTATTTTTATATTTTAGAATATTAAATTAATTTTACAAATTTAATTATGATTTTTGATTCAGAACAATTTAATTAATTTTCGTTATTATTCAATCTTGAAAACTTTAAATTAGAATTTTTTCAATTTTAAAATTCAAAACAGTTTGAAAAAAAAACAATGAAAAATTAGTCAACAAAAATCAAACAAAAAAATTCTATCTTTAAATAGCGAATAAACCCGAATACGATTATTAATAAATATATTTTAATTAATTGAATTTAAAAAATTGAAAAACCTCGTGGAGCAATGCGGGAGGAAGCAATTAACATTTGTGATTTTCCAAGTCCCGGGTCGCCAACAAGTAAAACGTGAATATCTTCACGAACTTCCCCATTTGGTGAACTTCCTCCAAATAAACTTAACAACAGTCCCGCTTTTACTAATTCGTGACCGTAAATACTTGGACACATTGAATGAATCAATAGGGCAAAAACCTGGTTTTTATATTCCTTAATTTCCTGTAATAGAGAAAAAAAATTGTAAAAAGAAACAAATGTTTAATTTTAAGTAATTATTTAGTAATTATTTTATTGTAAATAATTATTAAATAGTTATTTATAAATCGACTAACACAAATAGCGGCATAATCGTGATAATTAAGATCAATCATCATAACACCCTTTGTTTTTGAATTTGTCTTATTACTCGTTATCGAAACTGCTTCAATGTGCAATTGAAATTTTGGATCCGTAGTCTTCTTCGCTTTCGATTCATTCTCTTGACCCTGAAAATACCATAAATATTAACCTTTAATTTGATATTTAATAATTTAATACCCAGTTAATTATAATTAATTTTTTTAATTTAAGAATTTCTTTTTACTTTAATAATCTCTAATTATTAATTTTTAGATTATTTAATAATCAATAATATTTAATAATTAATTTTTTTTTTAAATAATTTTCTATTTATACTTTAACAATTCCGGTTACGACGACATCTGCTCCTGGCATACAAGTGTCAACTAAATCGTCAACAAGTTCGACGTCAATAACTCTCAGAGTTCCACGTCTATCGTCCTTGAAAATTTTAATTTTAGTTTTATTTTCCGAAGTTCTAAAAGTGATAGATGTACAAAATTACAAATTGAATTGAATTTCAAAAATTCACCTGATTATCACCTAAATGCTCTTGCAGTCTAATTGTTTGAAAAGGTATGGTTATTGTATAAGGTGAATCGTCTTCCATTTCGAATTTCATTGCTCCACAGTCGCATTTTTTGGGAACTGTTGGCACTCCTCCTGGTTGATAAACAACTGTTTTTAAATTACATCTGGTGCATTTATATACAAGCCATTGAGCTAATCGCAAACATTTTCCCACTCGCATCACACAGCCTCTGATTGTAATTAGTTGTCCTTTGAAAAAGAAATTCAAAATATCGATTATTATAAAAGCAGTAATTTTTAATTATAAACAATAATGAAAATAATAATAATAATAATTTGTAATAATACATTTAATTTTAATAATAATTTTAACTTAAAACAATTAAATAATTAATAAAACAATCTTCTTCTTCATTGAATTCTTGCAAAGAATCTTATCAAAAAATTTCAAGAGAATAATAGAATTCCTTCGAAGAATTTTTTTATTTATGAAAATAATTGAATTCTCGCGATGAATTTTATTACAAATTTTAAAAATCCTAATTAAATTCTTTGGATGAATTTCTTTGAATTTTTTTTTAAAATAATGGATTTTTTTAAATAAATTTAATTGAAAATTTTGATAGCAATTGAATTTTATGAAGAAGAATTTTATTAAAATTGTATTGAAGATAATTGAATTTCTGAGAAAAATTTTATTGTTTATAAAAGTAATTTAATTTTTGCGAATAAATTTACTATTTATAAAAATAGTTGAATTGTTTCGAAGAATTTATTAAAATTTTAGAAAATAAATGAATTTTATGTAAATATTTTAAAATAATTATATTCTTTTGAGGAATTTTATTAAAATTGTTTTGAAAAGAATTGAATTTCTGCAAAGAATTTTACAATTTATAAAAATAATTGAAATGATCGAAGAATTTCTTAAAATTTTAGGAAAAATTGAATTGCTTTGAAGAATTTTATAGAAATATTTGAAAATAATTAAATTCTTTCTAGAAATTCAATTAAAGTTGTTTCGAATATAATTGAATTTGTGTAAAGAATTTTATTAAAATTAAGTATATTCAAAATAATTGTATTCATCAGAAGAATTTTATTGCTTTTTAAAAATAATTGAATTCTTTCGTGTAATTTGATTTAAATTGGATTAAAAATAATTTAATCCCTGCAAAGAATTTAAATATTTATAAATAAAGTTGAATTGTTTCGAAAAATTTATTAAAATTTCAAGAAATAATTGAATTTTATGGAAATATTTGAAAATATTTGAATTCTGACCAGGAATTCAATTAAAATTGTTTTAAAAATAATTGAACTCCTTCAAAGAGTTTTACTATTCATAAAAATAATTTACTTGAAAATTTAAAATTGAATTTATTTTAAAGAACTTAATTCTTGATGAATTTTTATAAAATTGAGTGAATCAAAATATTGTTTACAGTCAAAGAAAAAGTCTAAATTCTGTCTCGAAATCATGGAAAAATCAGGGAAAAACAAAATCGAATTTTTATGGCAAACCTGAATAATAACGCTAAGTGTAATTTAAAAAAAAATTTGTACCATAATAATTGACTCGTAAATTCTTTAGTGGAACAACTGGTAAATAATTTACAACTCTAACTCTAATTAAAGGCACTTCATCGGAACTCTCACTGTCGTTTACTTTTAGTGTATTCACAATTGTCTGAAAAAAACGATTACATTTTTTATTTAATTTGATTATTTTTAAACAAATAAATTAATTAATTAATTAAAATAAAATTAAAAAATACATTTTTAAACTAATTTATAATTATTTTTAAATAAATAAATAAATAAAAATTTTGAAAAATTGATCAAATTGAAAAGAAAAGGAAATTTGAAGAACCTGGTGAACTGCAAGGCCAATACAATTAAGGGTATGTGATGGATTATTTTTGATCTCTTCTGGAAAATCTGGCCATTGTTCCTTAAAAATTTGACTGTCGAATACTTTATTTACGTCAAGTTTGAATGGTCCTCCGACATCCAAGTGAGCTTTTGATATTAATTCTTGATTTTCCACCAAATAACTTTCCATTACTTTTATTTTCTTAACGGTTTCGGATTTTTGGGCATATTCTGTAATTTGCAAAGTAAATTAAAATCTTTGTAAATTATTTTTCGCTTTTAAAAATTTTTTTTTAATATTCATAAAGATTTTTAATCACTTTTTGTAATTTGCAGAATAAATTGAAAAAAATTTTAAGACTACGATTTTTCATGTCAAGTAAAGAATGTTTACGTTTTTTGTAAAATATTTGAAAATTTCGATTCTTTTTTACCTTCATCAGGAAAATAAAGATCCCATCCAGTGTATGGAATATCTTTCTTTCTCTTTTTCTTGGCATGTTGCGGTTCCATATCATCTGGATGTGTTGCTGCCTCATATCCATCATTCTCAGGATTTTCTTCGAAATTAAAATAATAAATCAGTGAAATTCACAAAGTTTATGATCAACAAATGAAAGCAATATAATTTTTTGTTCAAAAAAAATTTTTTCTGTTTTAAATTATTCATTAAGAAATTGTGTGAAATATTTTTAATATATTTTTAAAACAAAAATTAATTAATGTTTCAATAGAAAAATATTTTTTCTTCTAAAATAATTAATTATAAACTTCATAAAAGTAAAATAATTAATAAAAAGGCTTAAATATAGAAAAATGAAAAAGAAATTTGAAAATAATTGAATTCATTTCAAGAATTTTATCAAAATTTTTTTCAATTAATTGAATTCTTTCGATAAAATGTAATTAAAATTGTATTGAAAATAATTTAATTCTTGACAAGATTTTTATTAAAATTCTTTAAAATAATTAAATTGTTTTGAAGAATTTATTTCAATTTTCTTGGAAAAAAGGTTTTTTTAAAATAATTTTTACTGAAAATTTTGAAAGTAATTGAATTTTAGGAAGAATTCAATTATTTTCACAATAATTGTAGTAGAATTCTTTGCAAAAAGTCAATTTATAAATAATAAAAATCTTCGTAAACAAATTCAATTATTTTTATATAAATAATAAAATTCTTATCAGAATTTCACTTATTTTTAATTCTATTTTTAACTGATTTCTTCAAAAATTTCAATTATTTTTAAAAATCATGTGAAAATTCTCCGAGAAAATTCAATTATTTAAAAAAATCATTGAATTTTTCACAGGAGTTAAATTATTTTATAAAAACTTTTAATAAAATTCAATTTAAGAATTCAATTATTTTCATAAATAATAAAATTTTCGCTGGAATTAAATTATTTTAAATTAAATTTTAATTAAATTCCAGGGAAAGTTAAATTCTTGTGACAAATTTTGTTAAAATTTTTTAATAATAATAAACAAGAATATTTAATATTATATACTTAATAAGTGAATTTATAAAATTTTGAATAATATAGATTTATTAATTTATGAAAAATATGAATTTTTCTAATATAATTTTTCTTTTTTTTAACATTTTTGATAATATTTGGAAATTTATAAACTAACCTAGAAGTAAAAATGAGTTGTCAATATATAATTAGACGTCTATCGCTAAATAGATTTATATCTAATTGCATGATAATTAATTATTCTGTAGCTTTACCTTCATTTCGTGTTCTTTTTTTATTCTTAGGATCATTTTTATTTTCTTCATTTTTGTCATTTTCTGCAGCTTTCTTTTTCTTGATGTATTTCCATTTGTTATTGTTTCGATAATACGGATTCTTTCCTCCACTGCTCATTTCTTGCTTTCTTATTTAATAGAATTTTTCATAATATACATGTATGTAAATATTTTTATTTGTAACTGTAAACTTTTCTTTTTTTAAACAAAAATTGACAATTTAAACGATTCAAACAAAAGATCACGTTGTAAACAAAAACATAACCTTACTTTTTAAATGGCGACAGGGTAATGGGATAATAGTAGGAATTTAGATTACCATCCGTTGAATAGAGAAATCAATCCGAAAAGTTACCGACAGGTGGCGCCAAACGGCCGTTTCCTGGAATTCGTGAAAATCTCTTAAACTCCGGCGTTTTGTAGTTCGTTACAATCTAATTAGAATCGTTTATTAATTATAAGCGGAAGTAAAAATTGTAATTTCAAAATGTAGTGCTTAGAGAACTTGGAAAACATTTCGTTTTGAAGTAAATGTAAGTAAAAAGAACAATCAATGGCTATATTTGTTTCGTTTAGAGAAAAGAAATGAATCGATACCCACGAGGTTCTTCCGCAAGCGGATTTTTTTATATGTAAAAAAGAGAAAAATTCTCTAAATTTATATTTGAATTTTCTTTTTGTTGCAGTTTGTTTATGTGAAAAGGTGTAAAAATATGAATGTGTTCCTACTGTAAATGCATTGTTTCCCGATGCCGAGATGGCGAAGCAACTCGTCAAGGACTTACTTCTCCTTCTGGAACTTCCGGAAAGGTAAGCCGGCTTTTTATTTTCTCGCATCTGTTGTTTTCTTTTTCCTCGCAGAGAGAAGAGATGACACGAGAGGGAGAACACGCGGGTTTGTTCATCAATTCAGATGAATTTTCTTGTCTGAACATATCGACGCACGTGAGGGGCACACATGTATTTTTCTTGTCCGAACACGTGCATTCATTTAATATTAATAAGCGAATTCTAATTGCATCTTGAGGATCATTATAAAAGGAGAAAAAAAATTAGGGCCTTCTACCGTAATTTAATATAGGTATTTAACTCGATATTTTGCTGAGGTTTTTCAACATTTTTTAGGGTTAATTTCTTTTTGAGGTTAATTTTTGAAACTGCGATTTTAATGCTGTTTTAATGCAATTTTAAATAAGAGATTTTAATTGGAATATTTTTCGTCTTTTACGGTTTAATACCAAACGGAAGAAATCGACTTTTATCTAAAGTTCAAGAGCAAGTTCCTTTTGATGACAAAAATAATAGTTATTTTATCTATTATATTAAATTGCATGAGTCTAAGATAATGATTAAAAAAAGATAGGAGAGGAACTTAAACTTATCGTTTATCATATGAAATGCAAGGTCAAAATAAATCTCGTACATTTAAACTAGATTTTTATTTTTTTTTTATTAAATCTATAACTTAACTTCTACGTCTCGTATTTTTAATTCCTTTTTCTAAATTATTTATCGGGAATTTTTCAACATTTTTTACGAATATTTCAACAAAATACTTACAACTTTTTTTTAAGGTAATAAGTGCAACTTATTTTGATTTTTATAGTGTAAAAAATAGCTCGCAAAATATATGTAAACCTTTTAAAAATTATTTTTGATAAATTTTTTCAAGATAATTAAAATTTTGAACATAATATATTTAGAAGATTTTTAAATAATGGAAATTTAGTAAAATTTTTTAGAAAATAAATTATGTTTGTAATAAAGATGCAAAATTGTTTTTTTTAAATATTTAGTAATGATGTTTATGATTGTTTTTTAAAGTAAATTAAATTTAAAATTATTTTTTAAAGTATTTTAATTAAAATTTTTAAAAATCAAATTTTGAAGAATATTAATATTGCAAATTTTAAAAGTAACTGATTTCTCAAAATCTATCTTTATGAAAAGTCATTTAAAAATACTTTTAAAAAATTAATTTCCAAAATTTTTTGAGTTTAATTTTTTAAGAATCAATGATTTTCTTATGCTTAATTAAAAAAATTTTAAACTAAATTGATAAATTTTTGAAATTTTCCACGAATTCTTTTTGGAAATTCAATTATTTTCCAAAAATTCTATTATAATAATTTTTAAAAATTAATTCTTAGAATTTTTTTATTATAAATTTTTTAAATTAAAATTTTTTCAAAAATCGTATACATTAAAATTTTAAATAATTATAATTTCATAGAATTATTAAAATTTTGCAAAAATCGTTTATTTTCATATTTGTAATTAAAATTCTTCAGAAAAACGATTATTTTTTATTATTTTTGTATTTAAATTATTGAGTTTTCGAAGAACTTTTAAAAAATTTTTGAAATCAAGTATTTTCTTACATATTTTTAATTAAAGTTCTTCAGCAACTTTATTGTTTTAAAATATATTCTAAAATTTCTTTTACAAAATTTAATTATTTTCGAAAAATTTTACTAAATTAAAATATTTCACAATATTTGAAATTGAGTTTTTTAAATATATTTACTTCCTGGGGAAAAATAAATGTGGAATATTTTTTTTGTTTTTGTTTTATGCAACAAAATTATTGAATTTTTTAATAATTTAATTTAGAAATCAGTGAAAAATAAGGAAAATAAGAAAATTTAATTTCTTTTGGTAATAAAATAGACTTTATCGTTTTTTTTTTCAAGGGCAAGTTTCTTTTGATGACGAAAAGAATAGTTATTTTATCTATTATATTAAATTGCATAAGTCTAAGAATGATTAGAAATAGATATATGAGAGGAACTTAAACTTATCGTTTCATATGAAATGCAAGGTCAAAATAAAATTTAATCGAGATTTTTGTTTTTTTTATTGAATCATCTATATTTTCTACTTCTGGAATTTTTTTTATATTATTCGGTTTTATTTACAAAATCTATTTAGAATTTTATCTGCGCGATAAATAGAAAATGCAACAAAATTTCGATAATTTCGATAAAACCTAAATATTAATAAATGTTAATAACGAATTAAGAAAAAAATTGAATTCTTGCAAAGAATTTTACTATTTATAAACATAATTGAATTTTTTCGAAGAATTTATAAAAATTTTAGAAAATAATTGAATTCTTAAAAAAATTTCTATTATTTATATCAATAATAATTGAATTCCTGCTAAGAATTTTATTATAATTTTTGACAAAAAATTCTTTCCATGAATTTAGCAAGGAATTTAGTTAAAATTATATTTTAAAAAGTGCCTATTGAATTCTTTTGAGAAATATTATTAAAATTGTATTGAAAATATTTGTATTTCTTTAAAAAAAATTGTTTGAATTAAATAAATAATTGAATTTTTTGTGGAGAATTTTATCATTTATGAAATTAATTTTTACTTATTAACCATTTAATTGTTTTTAATTATTTATTAATAATATATTAACATATTTATTATTTTCCAAGATTTTAATGAAATTCTTCGAAACAATTTGATTATTTACAAAAGTTTTAATAAAATTCTTCGCAAGAATTTAATCCTTTTCAAAAATTTAAATAAATTTGTATGCAACAATTCAATTATTTTTTTTATTTTTTATAATATTCTTCGGAAGAATTCAATTATTTAAAAAAATTTTGAATATAATTCTTCGGACGAATTCAATAATTCAATAATTTATTCGAGCAATTAATTTTATCATTTATGAAAATAATTTATTTTGAAGAATTTTGTGGAAATTCTGTGAAAAAAATTAAATTCTTTCGAGGAATTTTATTATAAAATTAAAATTGCATTTGAATAAAACTGAATTCTTATAAAAAATAATAATAAAATAATTTATTTTGAAGAATTTTGTGGAAATTCTGTGAAAAAAATTAAATTCTTTCGAGGAATTTTATTAAAATTGCATTGAATAAAAATTAATTTTTATTAAAAAAATAATAATAAAATAATTATACTCCTGCAAAAAATTACATTATTTATGAAAATAATTAAATAGTTATGAAGAATTTTATTAAAATTTCTTGAAAAAAATAATTGAATACTTTCAAGGAATTTTATTAAAATTTTTAGAAATAATTAAAATCCTCCGAACAATTTTTTGTTGTTGAAAATATTAATATTACTATTTATAAATTTCTTCGAAGAATTTATTAAAATTTTTGAAAATAGGTAATTGAATTCTATTGAAAATTTTTATTATCGAATTAAGAACAAAATTGAATTCTTTCGTGAAATTGTTTTGAATATAATTGAATTTTTTCAAAGCATTTATTAAAATTTTAGAAAATTAATGAATTTTTTCGAAAAATACTATTAAAATTTTTTTTTAAATTGAATTCTTTCGTGAAATTTTATTAAAATTGTTTTAAGAATAATTGAATTTTTGCAGAGAATTTTACTATAATTATAAATATAATTGGAATTTGTTTTGAAGGATTTATTGAAATTTCTTGAAAAAAATAATTGAATTCTTTCAAGGAATTTTATTTAAATTTTTGGAAATAATGAAATTCCTCGGAACAATTTTTTTTTTAAAACATTACTATTTATTAATTTCTTTGAAGAATTTATTAAAATTTTAGAAAATAATTGAATTCTTTTGTGAAATTGTTTTGAATATAATTGAATTTTTTTCGAAAAATACTATTAAAATTTTTTAAAAATTGAATTCTTTCATGAAATGTAATTAAAGTATTACAAATAATTGAATTTTTGCAGAGAATTTTACTATAATAATTATAAATATAATTGAATTGTTTCGAAAGATTAATTAAAATTTTTAGAAAATAATAATTGAATTGTTTTCAAATATTGTATATATAACGAATTAAGAAAAAAATTGAATTCTTTCGTGAATTTTTTAAATTAAAATTTTTTTGTAATTCACTAATTATCACTAATAATACTTGTGTCTAAATCATAATTCAAAATTGAAAAATTATAATTGTAAAAATGTGAATTTTGTTTAAAAATCCCTGTTTTTCGTAATTAACTCTTTAATGAGTTGATTTCGATGAAAATATACGCGTTTGATGTTTAATTGTACTCTTAAAGCGGATAATGTGAATTTTTGCCTTTAATCATAATGTACACCAGAGTGTGTGTGTGTGGTTGATTCTTGAGTTATATAACTTAATTAACTGCCTTTGCCTATACTAAACAAATTACCATAAAGTTTATAAATTACATTTTGATGGAATATAATAAGCTCTTTTTAAAGGTAGAGAAAAATCTTTGAAGGTGTTATTTTTAATATTTACACGCTATAAAAATAATCATAAAGAGGGATAATAATTAGTAAAGATATGCACATGTGTAAATATATCGTTCTGAAATGACGTCTTATAGAATGCCTTGGAAATATTCTTTTTTTTCTTTTCTTTTCTCCTTTTTTTTTCCTTTTTTCCTTTTTTTTTTTTTTTTATTTTCACAATTTTATTTATACTGTTAATAAAAACTTAACGAAGCTTCGCGGCACATCAAAGGCAGTGACTCTCAGCTCTTGAAAAGATAAGTCCGAACAGTTATACATAAAACATAAATCACGATATGACTGGGAATAATTAAAGTAAACTGCATAACCCGAATAAAATTGCTGGATTAATCGATTGAGAGAAAGAGAGAAGATTTCTAACGATTTAAAATTTTTTTTTTAGGAGAGAGAGAGAAGAAATGAAAATTACGATCGATTAAATTTAATTTAATAGAAAGAAGATGGAAATTGGAATTAGCGAAGAGTTTGGTAATTAAATTTGATGATCGTGTTTCAAATAATTTTGTTTTATTGACGAATTTATTTTTTTCTTCTTCTTCTTTTTTT